CTCATTATCACCTACAGACCCGGATCCAAGAACGTGAAGCCCGATTCTCTCTCTCGTCTCTATTCTGCCGATCATCCAGAGACACCTGAACCTGTCCTCCCAGCCTCATGCACCGTTGGAGTAGTCAACTGGGAAATAACGGACCTAATCAACTCAGCCCTAGCCACCGAACCAGATCCAGGTACCGGTCCGTCTAACCGCACATATGTTCCTTCTTCTGTCAGGTCCCGCCTGATCCAGTGGATGCACGCCGCAAAATTCTCCGCCCATCCAGGAGTGAGTAGGACTGTCGCTCTAATCTCCAGGCGCTTCTGGTGGCCCACGCTCCATCGTGATGTTAGAGAGTATGTGTTGGCCTGTCCCACATGTGCTCGCAACAAGGCTTCGCATCAACCTCCTTCTGGTCTCCTTCAACCTCTACCTGTTCCCTCGCGTCCATGGTCCCACATAGCCATTGATTTCGTCACCGGTCTCCCTGTCTCCCGAGGTATGTCCACCATACTAACCATTGTCGACCGTTTCTCTAAGTCTTGCCATCTAGTCCCCCTGAGAAAACTTCCCACGGCCTTCCAGACAGCCCAGCTTCTTATCAAACATGTGTTCCGGCTTCATGGCATTCCCCAGGAGATTCTATCGGACAGAGGTCCCCAATTCATATCCCAGGTATGGAAGGCTTTTTGTTCTGCGCTCGGCTGCAAACCATCTCTCACCTCAGGTTACCATCCCCAAACGAATGGCCAGACCGAGCGTATGAACCAGCATCTGGAATCCACTCTCCGCTGTCTAACGTCCAATAACCCGGTGGATTGGAGCCTATACCTTCCCTGGATAGAGTATGCCCACAACTCTCTCCGTTCTGCATCCACTGGACAATCGCCCTTCCAGGTCAGTCTTGGATATCAACCACCTCTTTTCCCCGCAGATGAGAGAGAGATATCGGTGCTGTCCGTTAATCATCACATCCGTCGCTGTCGAAGGATTTGGAGGGAGACCATTGCCACACTCAACCAGTCAGCTGAATCAACCAAGCGTTTCGCTGACGCCAAGAGACGCCCCGCCCCGGAGTATTCTGTGGGCCAGGAAGTGTGGCTTTCCACTCGAGACATCCCCCTCAAGGGGATGTCTCGAAAACTTTCCCCGAGATTCATAGGCCCATTCAAAATCTCTCGTGTCATCAACCCATCAGCTGTCCGTCTCCAACTTCCTCCTTCCCTCCGAATCCATCCGACCTTCCATGTCTCCCAGATCAAGCCTGTTTCCTCGAGCCCTTGTGCCCGCCATCCGACTCCCCACCACCCGCCCTGGAAGTCGATGGCCATCCAGCCTTCACGGTCCGCCGTATTGTAGACTCCCGTCGACGAGGTCGCGGTTGGCAGTACCTCGTCGACTGGGAGGGCTACGGACCAGAAGATCGTCAGTGGGTCCCAGGCTCGTACATCCTCGATCCTGCCCTGATCGAGGAGTACGAGCGTTCCCGTCCTTCCACTTCCTCCGGACCGCCAAGGGGCGGTAGTTGAGGGGGGGGGTACTGTTTTCTCCAGCAGAGTCCGCCGTGGATCCTCTGAGGGAGCCTCCTGCACAGGTGCAGCTCATCAAGACCATCAGAGGATCCACTACTTAAGCTGCCTTCAGACCTTACCTCAACGCCGCAGTGTTGTTCCAGTTGGTCAGCGCTAAAGCCTTGATCTCAGTGATCTTTCCATGTCCTTAATCCCGAGTCAGATTGTAACGTTTGTCTCTGTGCTTCTAGGTGACTCGTGCTTCCTCCGTGAAAGCTCTGGAAGAGCTAACCTGCCGAGCCGACCCTCCGAGCCAAACCCTGAAGATTCTCAGTCAACCTCTAAGCAGCTCTGGGCAAGAGCTTGGAAACCCAAGCCAAGGTCTGTTCTAATAAGACGTGAGACGCTGAAGCAGCTAACGGACTCTGCTAGCTCATCCTTCTCCAGAACCAACAGTGACTCTCCCAAGGAGAACCTCAAGAACCCTCAAGGTACTATCAGAGCACCATTGGAAACCAAAACCCCGTCAACAGTCCTTAACTGTGTTGTCTCTCACGCAGACTCCGGTGAAACCAGATTCCAGGCCCAAACCAGTCATCTGCATATTATGTGCTTGTGCAAATAAACTTGTTAAACTTTTCATCCTGTGTCCGTCAGTGGTGTTCTGCATCTTTGGGTCTCCATTAGAGAACCGATCATGACACTAACAGGGCACACAATGATTTTGCTATTTTTGCACTGAAAAAACCCAAAAGATTAGACGGCAGTCTGAACATTGAAGTCAAGTCCAGTTCCAAAAGAGTCCGCAAAATGAACTGATCTTAACAAAATCGGCTAATTTGATCAATTAACTACAAATAAACTAGAAATTGTACACTATCTAAGCTTTTCCTCCTGCTGGTGTTTTACCCACAGCCTTCCTGAAGAAAGCTCTACATTTCCTAACTTCTGATTTAACTCAAAAATAAACACTCTCAAATCACTGCTGAAAATGAGCATCTTGGACCAGCTGCTACTGCAGAACTACAGGCCTATCCTCAGACATCCCATTCATCAGTAGGATTGTTGAAAAATCTGTGTTTCAGCTAAACACCTTCCTTGCAATGACCAGCTGCTTCAATGTCTTCCAGTCATGCTTCTGTGCTCTCTACTGCACAGAGACTCCCCTTGTCAAGGTGTTCAGTAACATCCTTATAAATGCAGAGTGTAGAAGAACCACAGTCCTAGCATTATTGGACCTCCTTTTCATAAAAGTGCTTGGAAAACTTGGTCAGCCTTTCTGTTAGAGCACTGGACTGGCTTAAATCCTATAATGACAGGGCTTTTATTGTGTCAGTAGGTAACTTTACAGCAGAGATCACAAAAATCATATGTGATGTTCTCCAAGGATCCATCTTAGGGCCCCTCTTATTCATTATCTACATGCCCTCCATACTGATTATAAGAAGTTACTATAACAAAGCAGACAACACAGCTATATATTATGCTGTCACCAGGTGACTATAAAGCACTGTATAAATTCAAATAAAAAATAAAGGTCTGATGTGTGAAAAACTTATTTCAGCTATATCAAGACTATATCAAGAAAAAAACTAAAGTCATATTTTTGTACCAAATGAAGAGGTGTTCTAAAGTTATCACACAGCTCCATTTAAAGGTATAGTGGAGGATTTTCACGAATCTTTTAAAAGATCCACCCACACCATTTAAAAAACATGCACATGCACAACCCTGTACAAGCTCCTGAGCGGGAATGCCTATTAAATGCCTGCGAGAGCATGCACAAGCTAATTTCTCGTCTTGCACGCTCTATTTAAAAGTTGCTGTTTGCAACTGGGGATGAGCATGTAGAATGGCCTTACATAAATATATCACCAGAATGATTGACAATAAGGAGGACCACTTATTTTGCTGATCCACCTGGGAGAAGAAAAAAAAAACCTTCCTCCACTATACCTTTATTATTGCCAGTAACCACCAAGAAGGCAGGAAAACTGAGTGTATTGATGGATTTAGACCTGAAACTTCAAAGACACATAAAGACATCCTCTAAATTCTGAATGACATCTCCAGGATTAAAAGACAAATGTCTCTGCAGGACCTTGAAAAATTGATTAATGCGTTCATCAGAACTAATTACTGCAACACTGTCTTCACAGGTCTACCTAAAAATTCGATTAGACAGCTGCAGCTGATCCAGAATGCTGCTACCCATGTCCTCAGCAGAACAGACTTGCTTTCAGTGTATCTAAAGCCCAGATCTCTCAGGTCTTCTGGCTCTAGTGTACATTGAAAACCTGCAGTAGAACCAGAGCCAAACATCGGCTCTTAGTTGCTTTAAACCAAGATTACAAACACATTTATTTAGAGTTTGACTGTGCTATCTAAAAATTATTAGATAAAGTTGAACTAAAATCTATTTTGAAGCCAACATAATATCTTTATTAATGTTCCATTTTCCTAACCCTTTTGTACCAAAAAAATATCGGTCACTTTATCGTTTTTCATATAATAACATATTATTATATTATAATTGTTATATTATTATTATTTATTTATTTTTATTTATTTGACCTTTTATTTATCATTTAATATTTTATTCTCTTTAACTATTTCTGTTCCCTTTATTTTTGCTGAAATATTATTTTCTTTCTCTTTTATTTCTTATTTTGAATTTTCTTGCCAGTAAAATGTACTATATAAATAAACTTGCCTTGCCTTGCCTGTACCTCATTAATCTGCTATATTACTGAGATTTTTGGGCTTTTGTGTTTTATAACAAATTAAACCAGCAGTCTTATTTTCTTATTCTTAGCTGAAAGATTGAAGAGTGATTTAAGTGAGAAATAACAAAGAACAACACAAAAAAAGAGAAATATCAGGTGAGAATTTTTGTAGTCCTCAAGTTCAAGCAAGTACATTTATAAGGATAATATTATTTGTAATTAATGAAAGTGAAGGGCAATATTAATTTCTATAGTCTTCTATAATGCAGCTTTATTATCCAATACTAAGCAGAAAAATTAACCTTGTGCATGTTTAAGCTACAAAGGTTATAAACTCAAATAATCATTCAAAAGATCTAAAAGAAGGCAAAAGAAGGAAAAAATAATTTTACTATAATAACTGTAATAGCTGATTCACATACTGGTAGGTAGAAAAAATGTTTCCACTAATGTCATTTTTACGGTGGTTTACATGCATGTTGTATGCTCTATGAACGAGCTTCAATCAGGTGAGTTGCTTTAACTAGCATTGTCTAAGAAATCATAGCTTGACATATCACCAGGGGTGTGGGGGTCTAGTTGTTAGGGCATTGCGCTTGGAATCCTGAGGTTCTGAGTTCGAGCCCCACTCCCACAGACTGCCACTCTATGGCAGCCCACTGCTCCCCAAGAGGATGGGTTAAATGCAGAGAGTTAATTTTGTTGCTCTGTACTTGTGGCAGTGTAATGACAATAAAATAAAGCTTTAACAAAAAGCTAGAAAAAACTGACACACCTGTCATAGTCTTGACAGATCTCACCAACAGCTATCAGAGCCTTTAGGTACTCATTTGGTTGGTACGGGTTAATGTAGTGCAAAGAGCAGCTGTTCCTTGGATCTCCGTTGGATGCAGTGAAGTCAATAGCAACCTGGTAGAAAGACAATTTTCAGTAGGTATGTCACAAATATGACACAATTAGCCTTCCTCTAAAGATACACACATAGAACCAGAGGTTTACTAAAGCAGCTTCTACTTTCCATTAGTTACAGGTGGATATCTATCTCTGATATATGAAAAGCATTTGACTTTTCTAAGTCAGTTAGCCATTTTTTACTTTAATATCTTTTAATGTCTGTGATGGCCACACCTGCAGCCACACAGCCGATAACCTCCCACACACTTTGAGTTTTCATTTACAAATCATAGCAGCATAAATTTATGGGTTTTGAGTTTTTTTTCATCAGACAGTATTCAAATTAGTTAATTTTATCACTCACATTGGTTTACATTTTATATATATATATAATATTGTCACATATTAAATGTTTTGTGCTTTCTTTGCTGGTGCTGTAGGGGGTTAGTTTGAAGCAATGGATTCTGGCTGGCACATATTATCCCAGACTGGCTGACTGACAGGGGGAAGCCATCTGGAGTTCCACCATGGTGGAAGATCATAGGATCTTTATTCTGATTTTTGCATAAGTTCTCTTTGCTTTTATTTGCTTATGTAGTTGTTTTTTCATTATTAGTCATTTAAGTTAATCAACTTTACTAAGTTATTTTTGTTATATTAGCATAGGTGTTTCAGGTTTCCTCAATGGGTCTGTTTGGTCTGATCAGACAGTATTTAAGTCTCTCTTGTTTGTTTGTGGCAAGTTTTAGGTTTTCCTTTCTTAAACCTTGATTTTTTTTGCCTTGAACTTGGTTTCTTCATTTAACCTCCTTTAATGACCTTGTAACCATTGTGTGATTTTTGTTATTTTGAGGAAATAAAACGAATGTTTCTTCTCAATTATTACTGTGTCATCGTGCTTGACTAGCCTTGTCCCTCACAATTTAAAAATAATTCTTATATGAACATTCCTATAAAAGTATTTAAATAATAGATTATTGAAATTAACAGGCAATCGAATCAGTATCGGTATAGTAACTAACTATAGTTACTGTCTTATATTTAACAACATAAAATTTATATTGTAGCATATTGTAACATATTTGCTGAGAAAATATTATTTTGGAAAAAGCTGTAGAATAATTTTTTAATGTACTTTTTAGTGGGATGTATTTCAAATGTTCCTTCTGATTGGTTTATCTGAATTGTGTGAGGTATCCAGCAAATAAACCAATAAATGCGGAGGCTTCAGTTTAGTCATTCCTCTTTGCATTATACGCCATGTACAGTAATCTTTTCTTGTGCAAAATTGTTATTTATACTTCAATTTGTGGATGTATTTCCTTTCATATCAAATAATTAGTAATCAAAGTAAATAACCCTCAGAAATCCTGTGAATCTTGAACTAACAAAGATTCAATCTCAGAGTGACCTCCAGGCTGACAGTACCAGCTGTTTAGTCAGACATCCAATTGATTTTCCTCACAAAAGAACATGATAATTAATGAAGAAATCCAGATCACCTGCACGAACCAGTAAACAAAGCAGCAGTTTTGGACCAAAATTAAGTACTCTTTTGGAGAAGCATGTCGGGGGATTCTTAATTAATATTAAACTTAATATCAATGAAAAATGTCTTGAATAGACTTTCTGAGTCTTCTTAAAATATTTAAGTTGAATTGCAGTTACACCTATTTTAATCTGAATAAGGTAAGGAAGTTACAGAAATTGACTTTTTTTGATAAATATTCTATCGCAATCTGTCCGTTGATGAGGGCGGTTGGTCTATTAATATTAATGTCGTTTAACATACCCGAATACTGTTAGAGTTGTGTTTTTTGGTTGTTGCTTACAAAAGTTATTTTTCCAGAAACAAAGTTTGAGTATATCAGAACAAATCAAAGAAAAGTACTTCAGTGTTTTACTCCCACATAGACTGAGGAATCTATAGTTCCTATGGATTAAACAGGCAAGCTGTTGCATTAAGTAGCTGCTTCCACCACAGTGGTTCTCATACTGTTTGATTCTTCAAACAACAGAAGAAGACAAAGATGAACAGAGGGCAAAGGTCACAAAATGGAAAATGTTTGTTTTTCACTGAGGGTGCTAATAACAAAACTAGGGCTGTGCACAAAAAAAATGCTGTTAAATAATAAAACAAATTATTTCAATAATTAAGAGAAGCTTTAGTTATTGTTAAATTGCCATAACCTTGCAGAAAATATGACCATTCTGGGTGAAATTTGCAGCTAGTTAAATTTCATAGCTCACCGTAAAATGAATTTGGCAACCTCCCATGATGTAATCTAAGAAGGAATAGACTCTGTGGAGCTGGAAGGAGAAAAATAAAACAATGGAACATTTCCATCAGGCAAACCTCAGGATGAGTTTCATTACATTTTTAATATCTGCAGCATAATATTCACCTATTCCAACAGGAAGTGATGTTCTTAAAAAGAACTATACATAGAACTCAGTTGACTAATTGAGATTAACAGATAACAATGCAAGAATTAGTTTTTTAATTAACATTTTTTTAGCAGGATCAGGCTGTAAGAGATTTAGCCTTACATCTTAATAGTTTTGATAAATGCAATATGTTTCTGCAATAGATTCCTACCTTCAGGTCGCTGAGAATGACGACTCCTGAATTTTTATAGTTTCTCTTCTTCTGTTTGTACTTAGGATTCACACAATCCCATGAAACCTTCAACACATTGAGTTAAGGACAAAATACATAAAAAATGAAAAGAAAAGCAACAGAGTTTTTCATTCTAATGATATAAAAACACTGGGAGATTTGGGTCGTGTCAGAAAGATTTTAGCAGGTGAGAAGCATGTCTGAAATAAATTAAGCAGTTAAACAGCCGACTCCCCTTTAATTTACTCTGATCCCATTCTGCCTCTGAATTCACTGACCTTATTTCCACTGGAAATTTTCTGCATTTCCCTGAATGTGGCATAGAACTCGCCGATGAAATCATGCTTTCCTCTGGAGTCATAATCCCACACTAGGCACTATAATAAACAAAAAAACACTGTTTATTCCCCTAGCTTGGCTCTGAATATACAGTAATTACATGGTAGACTGTAAGACCAAAGAAAGAAAGGCAGAACCTATGCAGTGAATAGCTTAGCAATCATGAAATGGCACACATTTACCACACATTTATATAACAGACTATTGCTTGATTGGTGATGCCTTAAAAACCTGTGCTTATTTTCTCATTTGCGTGTATACATTTAAAAACTACACATTTATTTGATTTGTATTAAAACCTTACGAAAGGAGGGGAAATGGGCATTGGGTATAGTTTTTCTTTTGAAGGAAAACCATATGTGCTACATACCTAAATCTCACAATGGATTTACGCAACACCTTATGGTCAATGCTTATTCAATTTATTTTGAATACAAATTAAAATTATTCAGGATTTTTATATGTGTTATAGTCTAGTAAGTATAGTCTTAATCAGTACAAACTGAGAAAACTTAAGGAAACAGTCATTTAAATGAGATACAAGTTTTCTAATGTTCAACAAAAACTATTTAAAAATATCACTAAATGAACATCTTAAGAGAGAAAATAGTTGCAAAAAATCTGGTGTTATGTCAAAAAAACAGAGAAATATAAAGTAAAAAAAAATTAAAAAGAATATGCATCTAGATTGTGCCTACAAGAGCAGCAGACTGATGGATGCAGGCATTATGCTGGGCGTTTACTGGGCATCAAGTGTGGGCTGTTTTAATGTGGGCCTGTTTTAGCTACTGGTGCAATAACTGCTCAAAAAAATGAGCTCTAATAATTACATTAATGCACTGACTGTCAATGTTTTCAATATTTGATAAACATAACAAATCATTAGGAATCATTATGCAGAGTCTGTTTTTTTTGGCCGGGCAGTGAAAACATATTATACCATCAAACGTCAATCAAGAACACAGTTTCAATTGTGCATTTGTGGACATTTAGATTTCCCTTTTGCAGTCTTACCTTGAGTTTGCGCTCTTCGTCACAGCTGCACAGAGATATGAGTGACACTTTAAAGGGCTCCCACACTGGATTCAGGTTGTTTTTGATCACCTGTTGAATGAGGACGACAGCTCATCAGAACCCGGATAACAAAAACAGCTTTCAAACCCTTCCCCTTAGAGGAGGACTGTTTTCCCACACATAAGGTGTTGACTACTAAAAGACTTCATAACTGTTTTCATGACATATGAACAAAAACAATAAACTGTCTGCTTTACACACAGGGTACTCGCAATAACATACCGACTTTTTAAATATTTATAAAATTGTCAGGGAATCATTGTGATTCCTTATTTGAAAAGGTACGGTGTTCTTAGCTGCAGGGTTAACTTTGAAGTTAGATGCAGGAAAAATACAGTAACTACCTCGGTTCTGTGGACAAGCTGTTCAGTTCCGTCGTCGTTAATTCGAAATATTTCCAAAAATGGGTCTGACTTGCTGAACAGGTCCTGTGACAGAAGATACAAGAAAACTGCTAGTCCTGTTATTTGTATTAAACACAGAAATCCTTTTTTAAAGCAACAAATGACACTCAAAAAGATAATGCAGCCATTTTTGGCATTTACTTGATCGTATTTAGTAACTTTAACACAATTGTTTCAGGGTAGGACAAAAGTAAAGTAAATGCCAAAAGCGGTTGCATTATTTTTTTCCAGTGTATTACATGTAAACTTACATTTGCAGCATATTTCATACAGTTCAAGTAGTTTGACAGACTGTTGCTTGGAAGAAAAGCTTTTCCCCTCTTATGTTGAGAATTGCAGTCTCTCTAAATGTAGGCATCTTAACAAAGCAGCAGCACTACAAATCATGAAACTCTGTGGAGGGTTAAAGCCAGAGCAAAGGACAAACTTGTTAAATTTGAGAGATGGTGTTGATCATTTTTATCTGAATCTCAAGATACAGAAATGGCTGTTAACTAATTTCCTGATCCAAACCCTTCTTTAGAATTTTTCAGATAGCCCATGTGCTCTAAAAGAGAAATTTTAAGATAAACTGGCTGTAATCTGAGAGTTTCTTGCTTCAGAGGATCTGCACAATGTGGCACTGAAAGTAGACCTTATTGAACCAATCATCATGAGGGTTTAATTTAAGTTAAATTTGAGCAGGTTTATGTTATTTTCAGTTGCTGCATTTCTTTTTTAAAGAAGCCTCAATTTAAAGGTTTTGTATTAAAGTTTGGCTAGTCGAGATTTTCCTACATATTTCATCACGCCCCAGGTAATGAAATTAACTAGATGTGGTTTAGATTATCAATGCATGTATAAAAACTATATTGCTCAAATAAAAACATTACACATTTAGCAGGCTTCATTACTATTAGAGGTAGCCTTTTATTATCTTGTCTGCAAGGCAACTGAGAGCAACGGCTACATGGATTATTTAGGTCAATTGATTCTTCAAGGAGGACAGCAAACAATTACAGTTTTGTACGTCAGTGTGTATGTTTGTGTGGCTGCGACACATGGATGTACACGCCAGGAGACAGTTAAGGATGCATTTCCCGCCACATTAGCCAGCTACATCTCCTGAGGGACAGGCTGGAAAAAAAAGTAAAAAAATAAAAAAGCTGAGCTGTAATGTTATTGCTTTGTTGCCATAGCAACCAGTAGCCATTGGGCCTCTGCTCCACGGGCCGATGTGAAGTGCATGTCATTTAATCTCTGGTTAACATGACATTAATGCTAATCATTAGAAGTTACCATAATCTATCATTAAACTCCCGGTTCTCCAGCACATATTAAATGCATCATTTTTTTTACAGGATGAAGTAACATATCTGAGGAAAGAGGGAAAGATTAAGTGTCTGGTGATTAATAGCCCTTTTAGAGAAATGTCTACTGCGTTACCATTAATGAGTATGTCAGAATGGATATGGTGCACAAAATAATTGACAAACCAAACAGGTTTGAGCCCAAGTTCAATGTTTACCTTCATTCTTCAGACAGGATTACCAGTGTGACCCGATTAAAAAAAGGACTCTCTAGGTAAGGGACAACAATCACTCAGTGGCTGCCTTTTCTTTCTTTCTAACCCAACAGAGTGGGATCAGCTGCAGAACAGATGTGTCTCTAGAACCTCATCTTCAAGGTTCACATACTCTCCCTTTAAAACTTCACACTTTTATGAAGCTATTGGATCATTTACAGCATTAGAACAGATATTTACTGTAAATTTAAGATTTGAGTTTAAATAATGTAATGGTTTTTCAGTAGAAGTGCCTTTTAAACAGATTTTTTTTTTTGCATATCTGTCTGTTTCTTAATTTCACAGAAAAAATGCCTCACTTTCACAGAGTTAAAAGTATTTTCTTTAAAACTAGCTGTTTTCCCTTAACTTTGAGAAGAAAGAATGATATTCTGAGTCATTTCTTTCTGTTTCCAGAGAGGAACCAAATGTTATCAAAGCAAAGTTCATCATTTCTTCAGTTTCAGTTAATTTTACTGAAAAAAAACTTCCTGTGTTGAAATCAAGATTTGTACACATTATGTATCTAGACGTTTGCAAGTAGTTTATGTCAGACCTATATTCTTTCAAGTACTATTTATCAACTAGCTGCCTATTATATATTTACTATTGATGAAGCAATGCAATGCACAGGCTTTGTGGTTTATTTCTGTACCAGAATCAAACTGCATTTTTGAGAAAAATGCAGATATTCAAGTTAATCCAGCCGATACAGGTAATCATCACATATTTTTGCATCAGATTCAAATAGTCTGTTTTTCAGAAATGATCAAACTGAGAAAAAAAAATCTACAAAGAGAGCTTTACCAGGCATTGATCTGACAAAAAAAAAATTTATCTAATCCCTTACAACATCAGTTTTTTATTAACCACTGGATGTGAAAAACTCTTGAACTGTTTTTTTGTCATGATGCAGCAAAGCAACTTTATTTGTTTAGGCAATTAATTTGATTAGAAAAACTGTTGGTAAGAAAAACTGGTAAAATATCACCAACACTTAATGGGCTGAGAAGATCACGTCTTTCTTTTCTGACATTCCTGTCTTCTCTTTTTAAAGCCAGGACTATTATAAAGGTCGACTTCTTTTAGGTTTTAGTATTAAAACACCAGATAATCTGAGACCAAACAGCTCTGAGCCATTAAACAAACAAAAGCATTTTGCTTTGGCGACAATTTACAGAAATGTGGAGACATATGCAGGAATCTTCTCTAAAATGAATATTTAAACAGTGGTTTAAATTTGTGCAAACTGCATTAGGGCAGAGGTTTGCTCAGTATAACTTTTTAGGAACAGAACATGTTTTATGAACAGATGATAATTAAGAAAGACTCACAACCTCTGGTTTGCACATATTCAGTTTACACTATTGGGTTTTTGAATTTGCCCCTGAACATTTTTGTATCATGCAGATCTCACCCCTCATGTCTCCTATCATTGAAATAAATTGTTTCTTTTTTTTAATTGAAATTCATGCCATCTATATTTCCTATAACACTGCCCAGCTGTGGGTCAGGGAAAACAAATCCTTTACCATTTGTCCTTAAATCCAGCTTAACACATGAGTGTTTGCCAATTTTATTTTGTATACTTTATTTTCTAAAATCTTTGTGATCATAGTGATTATGTATATGATTAAGCTGCAGCTAACATTATCAGAGTTTTCAAAACCATTAAAATTCAAGAAATCTCAAAGCATTACCGCATAATAAATTAACCATTTAATTCCAAAATATGTGCAGCAGCAACCTGAGCGAGCTGACATACTGGCCACCTGGCATTCCTGGTTATTTAAGACAGTTATGTTAAGTCTCTAATCTTTAGCTCAGAAGTTTCAATTGAGTCTTTAATTGAGCAAGTTAAATGCAAATCAAGTCTGAGTGTGAAACTCAATTCACCATCTCCAGTAGCGAGAAAAATAACATCAGGAACAAAGAGTATTTTATATGAAATCAATGAAAAACTTTTTGTGCCATATTTGTTTAGAAATATTAACTTTTCTGATATAAACCATTTTTTAGACAAAGTAAGCCAAACATGATTAATGTTTATTCATGAAGTGAAGCAGTGGTGCTTTAAACACAATATAAATTTGAACAGCCGAGTAACACAAATAATTACTATTTGGGGGGCCAATGAATTATTTGGAGTAGCTTCCATGCACCATCTTGAAGGGTCGTAGCCTTATGTGCCACTGCAGTTCTACATGTTGTTTGCGGATGCACTCCTAATCAAAAGCGAGTGGATTATAGAACCGCTGCTTGTTTTCTTTCTTCTTTTTTTTTTACCTCAGAAACAATCATGCATAATGTGAACTCATTGCTCAGCTTGTTCAGTTTCATCTTTAGAATTTGCATTTAATAACAAAGTGGAAATGACTTGGTTTTTAACTTCTTGGTATCCAAGTGCTGTAGCATTTCTCTCACCATCTGACTCTTCAGCAAGCACAGCTTGTGCTCATCCTTGTCTTTAGGAGCAAGTAGCTCAAGCAGTTGTTTTTGTTATTGGCAGTAGACTATATAACTGTTCAGCTAACCATTAATAATAGATATATAAAATGATCTCATGGGTCAGATGCAATCGTATCACGGGTCGGATGTGGCCCATGGCCTTGGCTGACCTGGAGGAATAAAGTGGAGAATAGAGTTTCTATGCAACAGGTTATTTTTTAAATGGCTACCAAGAGAAATAATGTCCTCAAATAGCTGTATTATACATATTTTACTCTTAAAACCTGTAAAAGTAAAACACATTTACCATAGAAAAAAGTGTTTCTAAGTGGTCGTTGAACTTTAGATGTCACATGTTTTACCTGTTTTTACATTACATTTGGCTGACTGTCCTTTCCTTCTTGTTTCAGCATTGCTGTTTGGTCTGATCCCCTCCCCTTTAACTTACTGTTTACACCATCACACTATGCTACTGCTGTGAAACTGGAGGACAAAGTGATAGTGACAAGCATGTACTTGTTCACAATTGAGCTGTAACATTATTTAAAAATGACAAGGTCATTTTTTCAGTAGATAAAACAGCCTTAAAAGAGCATAAATAAAAGAGTTTGTTAGTCACAATCTGACATTTTCTTCTCTCCTTCCTTGTTCTCTAACCTAATATGCTATTATCTAACAAATTGCACAGATTTCTTAAAAATCACACTTTGCAGCAGAACAAGCTCAAAAAGCGTTGAATCTGTCCTTCCTGAAATCAACACTCCCTACTGGCATTTAGTTTTTTTGATGACTAGTCTGCACAGATACATAAATTATGTGTAGTAGATCTGGTCTTTAATTTAAATGAACACATAGTATGGCATGTGTGTTAACCAGAAAGAAACTGCATGAGCCTAATGAGCCAAAACCTAATGAGTTGGACCCATGTTTTAGGGGTATATTTGACACAACAGGAGAAGCAGAATTCTCAAAGCATCTCACAGCATCTTTCCTTAAAGGAAATGTTGGACTATCAGGAAGGCTTGAATAATAATTGCTCAGTTCAGAGTTCAAGTCGATTTAGCTGTCAGAGCGGTGGCAAATTTCTTGCTGCACTTTCAAAGCTAAATGCACCTGCTGTCTTGCTGTCTGTGCCATGACGAATCAAGGTCACCCCATGCAACCGCTCTCCCAAGGCCTTCTCCAGAGAACACAATGTGAGTGGAGATAATCAGAATTGTAAGTATATGTAAGGTCCCTGCTGTCTTTTTGATTGAAATGTGCCTTGGGCAGATAGTTTGAACATATGTGGACCAGAGCAGCTGGGGTCAATAACATCCTGCTTTAAGATGACAGAAGAAAAACACATTTCCTTTTTGACATCATGCGATGGGTTGTAATTTCATTTGTATGTTAGATTGTTGTGTTGACATTCATACTGTCATAATCCTGTTATTTTCAATCCATTCTGACTGTTATCTGTTGACGGAAAAGTGGTCAATATCACAAGACAGCAAGACATTAAGAGTGCAATTTTATCTGAGCTCTTATGATCCAAAGGGCTTTCCATCTATATTTAGTAACACAAGTGTGGTTCTTCTCACCTTATCATCCAGCTTCTTAGCACAGAAGGAGAGCTCCACATACCCATTGTTTCCAGAAATTTCCTCGGCATGAACCTGCATGGAAAATTATTAAGTGATTGATACTTTTTGTGATTGTCTTCAGTTGTGGGTTCAAAATTTATCCATAGATACATCAAATATTGTGTTGATTATTATTTATTTATTTATTTTTTTCAAATAAAACTTGGATAACTTATTATAGCAGAGGGGAATGAAAGTTAACCTGTGATAACTATGCTTTCAAATCACAATAGTATAAAATAAAATAAAGGAAATTATAGATATGATGGAAAATGTTGCTTGAATAACATTTAATAAATAAAATAGCATCCGCTGATCAAATACAGCTAAATGGTAATCATCAAGGGCTGCTCAGTGGCGCGGTGGGTAGCACTGCTGTAAGAAGGAACTGGGTTCGATTTCCAGCCCAGGGTCTTTCTGCATGGAGTTTGCATGCTCTCCCTGAGCATGCGTGGGTTCTCTGTTAGTAACTGTTAGGTTATTTGGCTTCTCTAAATTGTCCTTAGGTGTGAGTGTGTGTGTGAATGGTTGTTTGTCCTGTGTTGCCCTGCGATTGGACTGGCAACCTGTCCAGGGTGTATCCTGCCTCTTGCCCATAGACTGCTGGAGATAGGCACCAGCACCGCTCGCGACCCCAATTGGGACAAGCGTATATATATATATATATATGAAACATTTTCCACATGACTAGAAATCACTTATTGTTATTCAGTAACATTTAGGGCTGGATCTATCAAAGGTTTGCGTGTATAAAAACGTAAGCTATTTCACTGCGCACGCTAAAAAATGTACAAACTTATCTATCAACAGCATGCTAAAAGGATTTGGTCTTTAAAATGTGCTAAATAGCGCCTCTTATCCATTTAGTACTTTTTCTGCAATGAATATGCAATATGGGGCGTTTACACGCAAAAGTGCGTCTTGTGGGAGGAGAACATGTAAATATATTAATTTAGCACTCGCAAAGTGATTTATGAAAACTGAAAGCAATTTTGCTAACGGTATCTGACTCTATATTTAACACGTTTCAAAAGAAGGTGCAAATGGTCTGTATGCGTAATTGCACACACATGGCAGCGGTTATTGTCGCAAGAAGGAGACATAGAAATGAAGCAAGGAGACGCAGAGAACGCATTTTTTCACTCCGTGTGAATATTTTTGGAATGAACAAGGAAACGATCATCAAAACATATCGTTTTTCCAGCATTGCCATTTTGAAGCTGTTGGGGGAACTCTGAATGGATTTGGAGCCAGCCACAAGGAGGACCCACGCAATACCCCGGATATCACAAAAGTCCTTGCAACATTGCACTTTTTTGCATCTGGGTCATTCCAGCGTACGGATGCAGCGAGAAGTGCTGTCCGACGTTCTGAATGCCATGTCCCCCTGACGCCCTACCGGAGAACCCCGACCTCCCCCCTGCGCCTGTGGAGCAACATGCCAATGCTGCGGGGATGCGTACGCGCAGTAATCTCATCCACAGTCACTTCTTGTGAGCCATTTGGTATGTGTGCAGTTTTCTACAGGCCAATACAAAACACCAGTTTTTTTTTTTTACTGCAGTGAAGTAGAAAATCAGCCACATACCACCTTAGGGAATAAAGGTTGCCAAAGTTATAAATATATATATATATATATATATATATATATATATATATATATATATATATATATATATATATATATATATATATATATATATATATATATGTATATATATATATATTTTTTTTTTTTTTTATTATTATTTTTATTTTTTATTTTTTATATGAGGGGGTGGGGGTCTCACTGTAAGATTAAACTTTCTTAATGCACTAGTTTCTACAAACTACTTTGCCGCAAACCACAAAACGCGCAAAACCATCATTTAAATAGGGCGTCTCCAACAGTTTTGCACCTGCCACCAGTTACGCAATCGCTCTTGTTAAATCACCCGCAAACCATGGTTCGGCCCCTCGCGCAAAATTCCAGTTTGCGAGCGCAAATTACTGCACGCAAAATTGGATCTTGATAAATCCTGCCCTTACTGCGCTATAAAAATTCCACATTTTGCCACTTTGATTCTATTAAATCCTCTGAAAACCTACAACCTATAGCTGCAGCTATCCTCAGAGCCTTTGAATCGAACCATGAAAAATGTTGCCTGTCCAAATTCTTATTACATCTCACTCCAAGGTTTGTTGACAAGTTGCCCGCCCTGCATTTACAATAAGAGGAAAACATCTTAGCTTCTCCAGCAATGGAGGTCCCAGCAAATCCAGTTTCAATTTATGTAAAACACTTAAAATATTGAAGAGGAAATAACTCAAGCAAACCAACAGCTAAATCACACTGGAGGGGTCTCAGTCAGCTTGTCAACTCTCCTATGAACTCATACAGGTGCTGGTCATAAAATTAGAATATCATGAAAAAGTAGATTGATTTCAGTAATTCCATTTAAAAAGTGAAACTTGTATATTATATTCATACATTACATACAAACTCATATATTTCAGATGTTTATTTTGTTTAATTTTGATGATTACAAATGACAACAAATGAAAATCTCAAATTCATCATATCAGAAAATTAGAATATTACTGAAGACCAATAAAAACAAAGGATTTATAGAAATGTTGGCCAACTGAAAAGTATGAACATGAAAAGTATGAGCATGTACAGCACTCAGTATTTAGTTGGGCCTCCTTTGGCCTGTATTACTGCAGCAATGCGGCGTGGCATGGAGTCGATCAGTCTGTGGCACTGCTCAGGTGTTATGATAGCCCAGGTTGCTCTAATAGTGGCTTTTAGCTCTTCTGAATTGTTGGGTCTGGTGTATTGCATCTTCTTCTTCACAATACCCCATAGATTTTCTATGGGGTTAAGGTCAGGAGAGTTTGCTGGCCAATTAAGAACAGGGATACCATGGTCCTTCAACCAGGTACTGGTAGCTTTGGCACTGTGTGCAGGTGCCAAGTCCTGTTGGAAAATGAAATCTGCATCTCCAAAAAGTTGGTCAGCTGCAGGAAGCATGAAGTGCTCTAAAACTTCCTGGTATGTGGCTGCGTTGACCCTGGACCTCAGAAAACACAATGGACCAACACCAGCAGATGACATGGCACCCCAAACCATCACTGACTGTGGAAACTTTACACTGGACTTCAAGCAACGTGGATGAAGTGCCTCTCTTCTTTTCCTCCAGACTCTGGGACCTTGATTTCCAAAGGAAATGCAAAATTTACTTTCATCAGAGAACATGACTTTGGACCACTCACCAGCAGTCCAGTCCTGTTTCTCTTTAGCCCAGGCAAGACGCTTCTGACGCTGTCTGTGGTTCAAGAGTGGCTTGACACAAGGAATGCGACAGCAGAAACCCATGTCTTTCATACGTCTGTGTGTGGTGGTTCTTGAAGCACTCACTCCAGCTGCAGTCCACTCTTTGTGAATCTCCCCCACATTTTTGAATGGGTTTTGTTTCACAATCCTCTCCAGGGTGCGGTTATCTCTCTTGCTTGTACACTTTTTTCGACCACATCTTTTCCTTCCCTTCGCCTCTCTATTAATGTGCTTGGACACTGAGCTCTGTGAACAGCCAGCCTCTTTAGCGATGACCTTTTGTGTCTTGCCCTCCTTGTGCAAGGTGTCGATGGTCGTCTTTTGGACAACTGTCAAGTCAGCAGTCTTCCCCATGATTGTGTAGCCTATAGAACTAGACTGAAAGACCATTTAAAGGCTTTTGCAGGTGGTTTGAGTTAATTAGCTGATTAGAGTGTGGCACCAGGGGCCATCAATTTTGAACCTTTTCACAATATTCTAATTTTCTGATATGATGAATTTGAGATTTTCATTTGTTGTCATTTGTAATCATCAAAATTAAACAAAATAAACATCTGAAATATATGAGTTTGTATGTAATGTATGAATATAATATACAAGTTTCACTTTTTAAATGGAATTACTGAAATCAATCTACTTTTTCATGATATTCTAATTTTATGACCAGCACCTGTATTTAATAAAGAACAAAAATGACTTGCTCAGAAAGGTTAACAGGAGACTATTCTCTATGCAATAATATAGCCGAATGAATACAATTTAAATCTAAATAAACATCAGGACTTTTGAAATGATCCCCTGTGGACAGCTGAGTTGTAAAAACTTCTAATGTCAATAGAAATTTTTAAGATATGTGTTTAAGTTTGGGCTTATTTTAACAGCCACACAACCAAACACCTTCAGGATGACCAGAATCCTTCTGTTCACTAATGTATCAAAGTACAATATATAATTGGGAGGTTCACACTTTCACAATAGCTGAATTCACTGCCAATGTTAGTTTTATTTTACCTTCACAGAAAATTGCCAGATAAAATGATAAAAAAATAATAATAATAATTAGAGTACTCTCAGTGTTCTTAAAAAAACAGATAAAAAAAAAAGACTTTACACTTTTGAGCAAGTAAAATTAAAGCATTTTTTTCATTGCAGAATGCACACTTGTTTTTTCTGGTTGCATTTTTTTAAATGACTTTTTATTTCAGAAAGTAACTACACTTTGGATCACAGTGACAGCTTAATTCAGGTTAAAGTATGAAGTGGCTTTTCGCTTTGCTTAATGAGTGCATGTCAAGCCAAAATGTGGAGAGAGCCATTAGCTGCAAAATGTGAGGCTCCAATCTGACAGGTAATGGTTTCAAACCACAGCTTTAACTCTCAAAAAATCCCAACAAAAAATCTGGTGCAATAGTTAAGCTGTTCTGAAAGCTTCCTGTTTCTTTCTTTCTTTCTTTTTTTTTTTTTTTTTTTACTTTTCAGTTCAAAAGAAAAAGTTTGGGCTGCTGGGTTTTTAGAATCAATGAGCATCCTCTGCTGCTTTTCTCCCACACTCAGGACTTTAGTTTGTTTGGCTGTTGGGAACTGACAGAAACCTGACATCAAGCTTCAGAAAGTGGAGCTGTGCAGCCAGCATGACTGAGGTCAGGCAAAACCTGACAGTAATGGCTTACAAATTAAAAAACTTGTTTTATCAGAAAGCATAACAAGGCATCTGCAACAAGGAACAATGAAAGCTGAACAGTTTGTAAAACATGAAGGTAGAGTTTACATATGCGTATTCTCAGATTTCCATCTTTGTAGGGACTGAGACCTGGATTCAGTATAAGTATAAGATTTTACTTGTTCATGATGAAGGTTCGGACTGTGCATGTTTGTGGGTTTCAGTTCGAGGGAGCGATACAGAGATGGTTAAAGAGAAACAGGCAGGTTTAAGAAACAGCAGACATACCGTAATATGTGGCCCATGTGTTTTTTGTCAAGCTTTGTTTTAAACATTGAGTTTTGTATTTCCAACATGACTTGGCCACAAAAGAGGCTTAAATCAGAGACACCTGGACTTTCACTTCCTTGTCTCCAATTTAAACATGTTTTGTGGTTGCCATTACCAATAGGAATTTGGTCAGATTTAGCCCAGACTGGATTCCAGAGATCGGAGACATATTTTTTTCTCGTTTCCTATGTGTTGTAAGTTTCTTTCTAATGGTAAGTTTAAATTACTATTTTCCTGAGTTTACCAACAGTAATTATGATTCTTAGTCTTTGGAACTGGGGAAAAATAACCAAAGTTCACAATAACATTCCTCTAAAGAAAACAATGAGATAATTGTAAACATAGTTTGAGAAATTCTAGTTTTGTAAGCCTGTGCATTCTCAGTCATCCGGTTTCATCATAGTAACTAAAAAATCAGGCTTAAATCTGAGTCAACCAGATTTTCGGTCAGTTTTTCTGAAAGCATTTTGAATCTTATCCAGGGGTCATTGTCAGTACTGTGCTCTAGTTTGAGCCAAGCTGCTAAAGCTGTGCCTTTAACACACAGAGCTGACAAAGATTGCTGGATAGGTGTTGAAACGTATTTAGTAAAACTTTGCGCAAGTCTGGTCATCTCCGACTTAAGGCTGCTTTGAGCTCCTTGTCTTATCCATTTATGTTTGCTCCCTGCTAGAATTTTGCATTTATATTCCGTTTCTACAGCTGTTGAAAGCCCACTCTATGTGAGCGAATCTAATTTAACTTTACTAGTGATCATGAAAGCCATTAAAAGGAAATGCTCAACACCAAATTACTTGTTCATGTGGCACAAAAGCCAATATCTTAAAAAACATATATATATACATATACATATACATATACATATATATATATACATATACATATACATATACATATACATATACATATACATATATATATATATATATACATATACATATACATATATATATATATATATATATATATATATATATATATATATATATGTATATGTATATATATATATATATATATATATATATATATATATATATATATATATATATATATATACCATATATAAGTACATTTCCAACACTCCATAAAGAACACATTTCATATGATAGCAGTGTTGTTACCAAAATCACTTTAAGATAAAATGGTTTAAATGAAACCTTAAACTTAAAAAAAACAAAGCTAACTCAACAGATTACACAGATAATACTATATATATATAGTATATATATAGTACTATATATATATACTATATATATATTTTTTTTTTGGGAGGGGGTGTCACTGCAAGATTTAAATTTCGTAATGCACTAGTTTGTACAAACTACTTTGCCGCAAACCACAAAATGCGCAAAACCATCATTTAAATAGGGTGTCTCCAACAGTTTTGCACCTGCCACAAGATCCAATTTTGATAAATCCGGCCCTGTGAGTATACAAAATGAAAAAAAAACTAAATGACAATAAAAGTTGTCTAAGTCATAGTGGAAAAAATGCAAATCTTTTGGAAAGTAAGCTTGTATGAACGATGCAAACAACAACTTTTATATATATATTAACAATATGAGGCGGTTCAAGGCTCTGAGGGGCAAAGCAAAAATCCAGTTCATAACCAATTACAACTTCACCACTTCTGCTGTGATCATATAAATTTACCAATAATATCCAGCCCTTGGTGTTGGTATCTGAGCGGTTGTTGTTCCATCTTTATTAACCCATTAAAAGATATTTGTTCACCTTTTGCTTAAAAATATTCCCATTATTCTTCACAGAGGTTCATTAACTCCTCACTTCTCTCGTGTTCCTCTGAGTTGTTATAATTACTTTATCGGACGTTTTTGAATTGGGGGGCCGGCTATCTTAGTTTTCATTTAACGAGCTTAAATTGTATCTCACAGCACAACTAATGATCTACAAAAATATCCTTCCTGTTTATATCCTCTAAATTGCCTCTGTTGCATCTAAGGAGACATCCATTTGGTAAGATATACTGGATTATTATCCAAGGACTACCTAGTGGTGCGTTCTGTAATAAATGTCTCATGTTATCTGGGGGATGAAAGAATCAACATTATGAACTTGCTTTTGTTATTCTTCTATTCCCCAAAAGGATGCAAAAACTCCCTCGTTTAACATTCCTGTGCTAATGTTAACAACTTCAAGAGGGGAAATAAAATCTTGCTCTGGTATTAAATCATTTAATTAGGAATTTATTTTTTTTTCTCCTTTCCACCTTACCTCACTAAGTATTTATATCCCTATTATTTATGTTTTTTTAATAATTGCTAACTGTTTACAGTTTGATTCCAGCTATAGGGAACTAACACATGAGGCAAAGGAGCTATGGTCAGATGAGACCTGTGCAACATTACATGTAAAGTGTTATGTGCTGCATTGCACTGTTTTATCCATAAGTGACAGTAGGTCTTGGGAGCAGATAGACCTAAATAGAAATTAATCCTGGAGGAAAAGCTTGTAATAATAATAATAATTGAATTTTACTGATCTGACATTGGAGAAATTTACCTTTGCATTTAACCCATCCTTTGGGGAGCAGTGTGCTGCCATCATCGGGAAGCATTGTGGGGTTAAGGATCTTGCTCAGAGACCAGGAGTGGCAGTCAGAACCTCAGGATTTCAGGCTCTATGCCCTAACCCAGTGGTCTCCAACCCTGGTCCTCAAGATCTACTGTCCTACAGATTTTAGATGCATCCCTGCTTCAACACAGCTGAATCAAATGAATGGCTTGAAAAGGTAATCAATCATTTGATTCAGCTGTGTTGAAGCAGGGATGCATCTAAAATCTGTAGGACAGTAGATCTTGAGGACCAGGGTTGGAGACCACTGCCCTAACCACTAGGCCGCAACTCCCCAAAATTTGTTGTCTTTATAAATTACATTTAGCATCTTATGTGAGGGTGTTTGTGTGATTTTGAAAGGAAAAATTAATTTAAAAAATCAGTCTTTACATAGACTACATAGACAGACTTTATTGTTGTTTTGTATACACAGAGTGTACACAAAACGAAAAGCATACAGCTTTTCAACAGTGAAAGAGCAACTTAGCAGTTGAAATGGACATCTCCATTAATAAAGTGCAGCAGTGATCAGAATGTAAACAGCGTAGGAGAGCAGTGCAAAAATAGATAAATATAAATGGTGCAAAATGCAGTATAACACTGAGTCTCATTCTATTTAAAGAGATTTGAAAATTTGCTGTGTAGTGCAAATATGATGATCGATGCATAGTTTGAAGCCTACTAGGTGGCATATTTTGTGGAATTGTCGAGAGTTGTAGCAAGCCGCTGACTGTAGGCTCAAAAAATGCAGAACATACTTTTAAACTTTATATTGATAAAAAGTTTGAAAATATTTTTTTCTTTTACTTCTAATCAAAAGTTGCTTACGGCTTTGTGTTGATTCATCATTTGTTGTTGTAACTTGACTAAACTTGCCACAGTTCCAGAGTTATGAATATTTCTTAAAAGCACTATTTGTTCATTATTTCTTCATCTGCTTTTCCTGAACTGTGTGTTACTGTGTTTATTAGGAATGATTCTGCATGGTGCAAAAAAAGGACAGGATTATTAAGAAAGATTATTCTCATGAACAGTTCAGGTAAAAGGAAAAGAAAAAATGGGAAAGATCTATTTAAAGCAGGAAACACAGACTAAGAGCACATAATGTGTGTAAGATGATGACGGTTATTTTCAAATCTAAACACTCGGTAAAAAGCTTACTGTGATTGTGGACTTGCCGGCATATTTCCCGTACTTCAGCAGCAAAGGTTTTATCATCTTCTTCTGGGCCACAATCTGCAACAAAAGACATCAGCAAAGTACCTTTCAGGCCAGTGCAAATAGGAGGATTGCAAAGGGCTCTGCGTCATCAACAGCAGTAGCAATAATCAATCATAAAGCTAGACCTGCTGGCAGCAAAACCCATTATCAGGTAGCTAACATCAGGGATATGAGTCGCTTTGAACTGATTAGGTCATTCTTAGTCATGTTCTTTTTTTAAGAATATCAGCAAACTGAGCTCACAAAATAGTAGAATCTACCTACCTGGCCAAGTGTGCATTCCATGCCTCCCAGAAAGTCATCATCACGGGTCCCTATGCTGTGGGTCCCGTGGATGTCATAAACTTCAAATCGCAGCTTCTGCACCTCCTCAAAGTAGTAATCCAGACCGAAAACCTTCCCGAAGATCGGGTGTAAGTTGCTCTTTATCACTTCTGTCCTATCCAACTGAGAGGGAAATCAAATCAGGCTCCCAAAAAATATACTTAAGCATTCAAATATGTACTGTCACCATCACTGTATAACCATCAAAGCAATAGTTCACTGTGAGAAAATGAAACCAATTTAAAAACAATTTCACAGACTGTTGGTGACATTAGCCTTTAATGTAAAGCTTAAAATATAACTTGCAATATGTTTATCTTTCTATTTGTTTTTAAGGACTAGAGCTTATATGAATGTTTTTAGATTTCCATCCAGAAAATGACAGCAGATACAACTGACAGCTCTGGCATTCAATCTCAGCTTAAAAAATAACAACAGAAAACATCTTTTTTCTTTGACTGACAGACAATAAGAAACTGAGCTGTAACACTGATACCTGAACATTTTTATGCTGCGCAAGTTGTAATACAGAAAAAAATTATCTGAGATATTCGATCTGGATGAATTTAAAATCAATAAATAACAAACAAGAATTATTTTTTTACATTTTTTCTGAACATTCTAGCAATTTTTGAGGAAGACAATGAACAAGAAAACAAATCTTCCAAGATAAGGGAAAAAGCGGGTCTATTATGAGGCTAAGAACAGCTCAGCTGCTGGTAAATTAAAGGCAGCGAGGGTTTAAGGGGGTCATCTAAAATGTCACCTCAATATCTGTCAATGTTTTCTGAGTATTTTTTTCAGTATCAGTGAAGCAGGTCCAGACTTTGTGGTATGATGACTTTAGAATGGGGTGACAGAACTCTCTTGTTTCTCATTTCTCGCTCTGGTAGAGATCAGATAAGAAAGAAATACAGATTTTTGGTTTGCCAGGATCCCAGCAGCAGTCAAGCATTCCTTGTAAGACTTTTATACTCTGTTAGGGGGATGATGATCTGTCTTCTAAAATTGCCAAGCTCTATTAAAATGGAGGGGGGAAGCACTGTCTAACATGTCACTTCTAAATCCCTAGACAGCCCTGGAGGTACAAAAATATTTATGGGGGGGGGGGGAAAACAAGATTTCAATTTAGTAAATAATTTCTCATTTTAAAAATATTTTGTCTTTTTTAAAACATGTTATGGTCACTTGCTCTATTTTATGTGCTATTTTGCCTGCTATATATATTTTTTAGTTTTCATGGCACTAGTGGCTCATTTTTGGCTTTTTTTTTTCTTTTGACAGTAGGCTGACAGGAAAGGGGGTATGAGAGAGGGGGAGAGACGTGCGAGAAAGGACCACAGGCCAGAGTCGAACCTGGGTCGTCCACGGCAAGGACTAAGCCCTCCATACATTGGTCATGCACGCTAACCACTGTTCCACCTGCACGCCCATTTTTCCTACAGTGTTACTGAGTCAAGTTAAAGTCAGCCCCTATAAAACCTGCTTTAACGTGCACATTAAACTGAGCAACGCATCAGTTATTTTGATTATTTTTAGCATTCTTTATAGATTTAGATTTTACGTCCCTCTTTATTCACAATTATCTCCTTTAAATTTGTTAACTTCTAATATATAAAGCTGTAGTGCAGTTTGACTCACATCAGGGAAAATTTCATGGATTTCAGGGAGGATTTATTTCAATAAAACACATAAAAGAAATTCAGACAGGGGAAATTAGTGACTGGACAGATAACATCACTGAACATCTTTGTAGCCATCAGTTTGAGTCATTTTCTAATAGGAAGTACTTATCAACTGGTGCATCCTACACAATGAGATTTTCCTGTAGAATTGCATGTGTCTATATTTAAATTAACAGTTGGGCGGACCGACTCACTGTGAGGCCAGTTCAGCAAGTATATGTCTGCAATGTAGTGCATACCTCAGTCATCCTTGGAATTAAGACCAGGGGGAAGTATGTGGGAAAACTTTTATCACTCGTTTAGTTCAGTTTAAGCAGCATGAGTTCAGACGATATGTAAATAATGGAAAATCATGTAATCAATAGGAGTACTCATCATGGTTTGGTGGTCATCTGATTTAGAATCATCCTCAAACACCTAAGATACAATTTAATTGCCTTAGAATCAATGTTGAAATCAGTAAAATATTACATTTCTGCCATAAATCTAATAATAACAGCTTATCTTCTCAATTCCTTTGGGATAATAAACTAGTGTCAATCCAAATGCATACAAAGGGGAATTAGATTTTAATTATTCATTTATTTACTTGTTTCATTTTGGTTTTTTTCCAGCTGTACATGTAATATCAGTATGCCTAAAACAGATATTGAAAGTATGTTGCAGGGTAAGATTTAAAGCCTGTATCATGAAATATGCAATTGCAACAAATAAAGGTCCAAACACGGCTTTCAAACTGGTACATTTTCTGTAAATTCATTAAATTAATGAACAAACCATAAATAATATATTAGATTACATTTTTATTTTCCCTGGAAGGATTTTGATCAGAGCCTCTCTCTCTCTCTCTTTTTTTAATGCCTTGCAAGTTAAGTAGCCTATGAAAACAACAAGAAAAATGTTTCTTTTATTGGGAATTAAAAAAAAAAAAAAGAGGAAAAATCCAAAGTTGAGTTGCTCAAAATTTTTATCAACGCAAAATGTAAAAAAAAAAAAAAAAAAAAAAACACTCCTAGTTGATTTATAAATGTTTAGACAATGAAAACGAGGTGGGGGTGTGGGGGAATCATCAGGCAGTATTAAATAAAAATAAAAAAATATGAAGGATTTACCAATTTTTTTTAAGAGTCAATTTAAAAAGAACAATTAATGATAAATAAATTAATAGGAGGTATTCCAAAAAGAGACTAACTCACTGATATATTGATAGATTATTTTAAATGAACACATTTAAGCTGAAAGGACAGGACTTAAAGATTTTATGTTAACATTTCTTATATCTTATATCCTAATGATTGAATAAATGGTTTTATGCTTGTACTGATCCACATCTCTAGGATCACAACAACAAAAAGCCCCTTAATTGCATAAATACATCCATACATCTTCTCCTTCTAAAACTACACTAAGGCATCTACAAATATATTACACCACTGCCTCTGCTTTAGTAAGATACATTATTAGAAAGGCTTCTGATTCTGATTCAAATTTCTTCCACCTGATTGAAAATTTGCACCATGCTGAGAATGGGCATTTGCTCAAAACACTTTAGCAGGAAGTGATTTGATTAAAGGTCAAACCTTTTTTTGTTAGTAATTCTAAATGTGATTATTTGTCTTTTGCCTGCATTCCTCTTTTTACATACAAGTGTTAACAATCATAGTGTGAACTAAACCCATAAACTTTTCTATATCTTGTTACTATTCAGATTGTGTTAATTTAAAATGTGCGCATTATGTTAATTAAACTTGCAATAAAAATGAAAGGTGTGTGAGCAAATTCTGCTTGGAGACAAATTTACGTTCAGCTTAATTTGCCCCTTCAGCAGCTAATAGTTTTTTTCAGCAATCTCTCTCAAAGCACCATCTGCAAACACAGATTTGGAGTGAGTCTGTTTGCTAATGAAGGATAATCAGAATCATATAAGATGATGGGTTATGATGAAGCCTGTGTTGCCTGCTTGCTGCTGTTGTGAGGCCGGAGTCAATCTATAAAGAGACAACCCTGACAGGAGAAATGTGTCTCTATAATGAGCTCCAGAAGAGGGTCCAACATTATGAGACATCAACAAACAGATCCAATTTGGGTATACTCCCGGGAGCATGCATGAGAGGAGCAAAGGGAAAAAGAAAAAAAAGGTCAATGGCTGCTCAAAATTTCATCAAGTCACATCATCATCCACTGCCCAGTTTCTAGATCTGTCCTATTTATCCTAATAAGATAAGTCCACTTTTTCAAATCACTGGAGCCAAAACATCATAGGCTCAGAGAAAGAAAGAGAAAAAAAAAGGCTTATATGATGAGGATATGAGTGGGCTCTGCTTCTTACTCAGTTACTGACGTCAGTAAACAATGTACACAAGCAGAGGTACCTCCCAGATGTAAGGGATTTGACAGTAGTGTTAGAAAACAAGTCTTGTTAATCACAGATTAGATAGGCAGATGTACAGATGGAGAGATGGACAAATAGATGAGTGACAGACAGATAGATTTGTTGTATGAATTATTTTATATGAATCTGCGTCACAAAGGGATGCTAAAAATATCCACTCATGAACTTATGCTAGAATGAACCCAGGATACAACCTTACAGCTAATTGTTTTCATAATTTGTGCCTATAAATAGCATATTTTAATTCCCTCTTCGTATAGCCCAAACATTACACCGAGCATTTCCAACCAACATATACCATGTGAAGAACATCAGGCAGAATGACTTAACTGGCTACTCAAATTTACCTAAAAGATATTGGTTTTATTTCCCATACCTAACGTTTGTGGATATTAAAACCCCCAGACATAATTAGATCATCTATTTTCTGCAACACTTAACATCGTCCACTTAGCAGACCCCTTAGATTTGGCCTCTCTTCCTTGAACTTAAATTGCCTATTTAACAGGAAAATGGGGAACCTTCAAACTTCAGATCTGCTTATGTTAAAATGAAGACAGTAAATTTTCAGTGATGCAAAAGGGCTGACAAAGTTATCTGTTTTTAAACAGTGAAATTGGTGGTCAATGGGGCTACTTAACACATAGACTTCATTCCCCAGCTGTATGCAGTGATGGTTTTCCCAAAAACATGAGGCCAGTTGGATTTTACTTTTAAATAAGATTTTTGTTTCTTGTCCAGATTGTACAGCTTTACAGATTCTGGATGACTGTATATATATGTAGATATACTGTAAAGCTCTTTACTACTACTATATAAAAAAGACGGTAATTTTATTATCTTCCAGAAATAAAACCATTATGAAACCTTTGCTGTTTAATGTCAGCTATGTTTATCAAATATTTTTTCTCCATTAAATGTTAGATTAATGTGAAGGGTTGAGAATGATAGTTGTTTTCATTAAAATGGAAAAGCTTGTTTAGACCAGATTTACTATACATTTAAACATTTAAGGAAAGCCTGTGTGAAGGTGCCTTGGCTTCGTCATCTTTTAATCTGCAATACTCACACTAATCATGCTTAGTCTGGGGAATTGTCTTTGAGTCAATGAGTCGATGCAATCAACTGGGTTTCCTTAGATAGATAATTTTGAATCAATTTGACTGTATGATCTGGTGAACTGTAACGTACCTTGAGATGACATGTGTTGTGAATTGGTGCTAAATTTAATTGAATATTTGCGTTAAATGAAGGCACTCCTGTGACTATATTTTAGGACACTACATATATACCAACTGCTTCCCTGTGTAGCACCACTGGCAACAGAAGAAATCAGCCAAGATATCGGAAAAATATTCATGGACTCCCAATTATTTGGTTCAACTTTGATACACTTTTAAGTAGAAATGACATGGAAACGTCTATGCATCGCACAATTTAGGAAGAAGACAATTTCCCCAAACATGAAAGGGTTTTGCTATGAATGAATGAATTACTTTATTTCAGACAATTCAGTAAAATTACAAATTTAACACACATTAACATATATAAGTATATATACATGATGGTGAAGTTCTGTCAGGAGTAATGGGACAAAAATCTGGCAAACTATTGTTTGAAGCCCATGAAAGGATACCAAATATTTGACTGAAAAAGAGTGAGTCTGGAGAATTTAGAAAGAAAAAAGTATTTTAAAAAATTACTTATTTATTATTCTGATCCTTAATGAATAGAGATCCTTTTGGTGATCATATCTAATCCCAAAAGCTACTATCATTCTCAACCCTTCTCATGAATCTAACATTTATTGGAGATAAATATTTTGGAAACATAGCTGACCTGAAACAGCAAAGGTTTCATATGGTTTTATTTATAGAAGAGAGTAAACTGTTTGTGTCTTTTTTATAAAGTATTAGTAAAGGGCTATACAGTATATCTACATATATATATATATATATATATATATATATATATATATATATATATATATATATATATATATATATATATAGTCATCCAGAATCTGTAAAGTTGAACAATCTGGACAAGAAACAAAACTCTTATTTAAAAGTAAAGTCCAACTGGCCTCATGTTTTTGGGAAAACCATCACTGCATACAGCTGGCGAATTAAGTCTATGTGTTAAGCAGCACAACTGCCCACCAATTTCACTGTTTAAAAACAGATAACTTTGTCAGCCCTTTTGCATCACTGAAAATACTGTCTTTATTTGAACATAAGCTGATCTGAAGTCTGCAGGTTCTCCGTTTTCCTGTTAAATTGGCAATTTAAGGCAAATCTAAGGGGTCTGCTAAGTGGACGATGTTGTTAACTGTTGCAGAAAATAGATGATCTAATTATGTCTGGGGGTTTTAATATATAAACTGAATACAATATGATCATACTATTATACATTGCACTATTTTTTGATTATGGTAACTATTATGATTATTATTAATTAAGGATGGTGTTTGGAGCGAGTGGCTGATTTAAAGGCAAACCTTTTGAAACATTTTTATGAGTTTTCTGTAAGACTAGGTTCCACCAATATTTTGATTTAAAACTTTTAGTAGCATATTTTACCAATATAAGAGAAGAGGGGAGAAAAGAGAAAATCTCACCTCAATCCACTGTCCATTGTTCTGTACCATTAGTACGACACAGGGGTCTGACTTATTCAGCGTGTCTCGGTCCAGCAGAGCTTTGCAAGACACACGCAGCTCAACTTTGGAGACACAGGTAGCAGGGCCGCTCAGGCTGGTTGCAGGGGAGGTTGCCTCCTGAACTTCATTCATCATGGCTTAAGATGAGAGGAGCTACAGGCACCCAGCAAAGCAGTGTGATGGGAAGCTGTTGGTAATAACCCCAGGAGGGGGAAGAGAAGATCAAGTGACTGGCTGCAGGATCTCAGAGCAGACTTGGCACACTCACAGGAGACAGGACCCTATTGGCTTGGTGCAGATGTCACAAATACAGGGATTCTTGCAGAGTCCCAGGGGAGTAAACCAAGCAGAGCTGTTATGACTGCTTGTCAGAGTTATCCTCTTGGGAAGAATTTCATCTCACCTCTGTAGTGTTGTGAAGGTATCAGGGTTGGTTATTAGAAGTCTGGGTCAGATTCCTGCAAAGATTTTTTTGTATATTTGTTTTGTTTTTTTCTGCATGAAAAAGTCCAACCGTACTGGTGTTCATTTCAGTTTTAAAAATGGAAAGATGCAGTCAGTCTGGATCATTTCTATCGATACATACTAACAATATGAGAAATGATTCAAATCCCCGCAATGTAAAGCTGCAAACTCCCATATAAACAGATATTTGCAGAGTGGATCGGTGCTTTTCATTCTCCAAACTACATAAAAAACAGATTTAAAAACCCAGATCTTCTTAAGTGTTTGTTTTTAATTAACAAACAAAAATACACAACAACGACTCAAAGGTTTTATTTTATGAAAAGTGCCTGCAGCAGCTGTGCTTCTGATGTTTACATGTGCAAAAAGAGTGAATCAGAGAATACAGCGCGAAATGTATTCACCGCAAGTGACACGAACGAGCAGCAGGTTCGTCTTTCAGCACCAAGGACAGAGGCGACGCCACTCTTTGAAACAAAAAAGAAAACAACCGCTCAAAAAACTTTAATCTAGAAAAGACAGCGGGTATAAGGAGCTTTAAATACGATCCACTCCGCCTCTTAAGGAAAAACTTTGCTTTAAAGAACAAAGAAAAAAGAATCCACTTAAGTGAGCAAAAGCTCCTGAGCGTGTAGTTAATAATTCATCTCCGATCGATTAACTCTTAAAATCTACAGTCCTGTGAGCACAGATCTAGTCAAGGTTATTACAAGAACTAAATAAACGCCCTAAGCTTTATTCTCTTTTAACAAAATCGTTTATGACGGATCTTTCCATTACAACAATCTGTCAACAGTTTTATAGGAAAACACGGGTCAATAAGCTTAGAGGAAAATCTCCCTACCTGCTGTTGTTCTGTTATTCCTGAAAGCCAAAAAAAGCACCTGTTTAATCCGTTCTTATAAAAAAGCATAGACTGTTTTTTTCTTTTCTCCCCTTAAACTCATTGATTCGACCAGAGAGGAAGGAGCGCGCTTAGCTCGGAGAGAAAGATGGGGAGAATGGTGAGATGCGCTCTTTAAGGGTGGGCTTTTAGCGATGATTTCAGTTCCTAACCCGAGCCCATAAAAGGAGGAGGGGGAGTCTGTGAAAGTGCAACACAGAATGACATCTGATAGCTCACACAAAGCGCTAAACCAAACAATGATCTGTGGAAAGCGTTTGAACACATTAAAGTTGTGACCAATGAAAAAAAAATCAATAAAATAGGAGTCATTTCCCCTGTATGTCTCCCTTCAAGTTGATCTCTGTTTGAAAAAGATTTAATAATAGATTCTGACTTAAATACCTACCAGATAATTCTCCAGCATCAGCATATTTTATAAAAAAAACTATTTATTATATAATCAACCTGCCTTCCAATAATCGGCCAAACCCACAAGTGAGTGAAGAAACAGCTGCATCTTGTGAAATATCACCATTGATTTCTATGTATATCAGAAAGGTCTTGCTCCACTATGTCACAGACAGTTTTTCTTAACTTCTAATAGCAATTCGTAAGTTAAAAGAAAAGTAATACATGAACACAATGTTTAAACTCAGAACAGGTGGCATGTTTTTCCCTCAGTATATGCAAATTAACATAAAACAGGTATAAAATAGGGCACTGTGTTTAAAAAAGGATGTGTTAACATTCTGCATCAATCATATCAATTAGAGGAGATGAGCAGAAACATGTTGGTTATTCCATGTTGGAGCAAAAGGAATATTACGGATCTGCCCCATTTTCTCAAATCCAGGAACATTCACAGGAGAGAAAATAAGTTGTAGGCCATAAGTCTGGAGAGCAGCTTCTTAGCTCAGTGAGGCTGTTCCCTACTCCAGGAAAAAGGGGGATAGGGATATAATACACCCTTTAAATAATCCCATCATTCTACAGTTAACTATTTACATGTGGAAAACCTTTAATAAGCTAAAAAAAAAAAAACTAATCTGATGAGGAGTAAACTTCCCATTGGAATCACCATGAAATGCTCAACAAAACCTAAAAAAAAAAAGCATAAAATAATTATGTGAGCTTGAAGAAATATTACATCCCAATAAAAAAATGTTCTACAGGTTTAGGTAAGGTAAATGTTAATAATAGTGCCCTTGGAACATAAACAGTTCGTCTGACGGTACCTATGTTTACTTAAAAAGTCTTTACAACCAGTGTTTGCAAGTTTGGATCTGAATTAACAGCAACATTTCTGGGATAATGTCTTTTAAACATGGAAGAATAAAGTAGAGTCATCTTACCATGATGCAGTTTGGTTAAAACCACAACCAGCATATTAACACAGCTAGCTCACATTATCTAAAGGGGAATCTGTAGACAGGCTTTAGATTTCTGTTTTTTTATATTAACAAACAGGGGAGATTGCTGTGTGGTTTAGTGTCCTTTACTTTAGATATAAATGTAGAACCTGGTAAAGAACTGGTTTTGTTGCTTTATATCAATAAATTAAACACAAACAAGTCGATATTTTTGCCATGACTGTATAGTCACTGAGATCTTAAATTTTATTCAACCTTCTGTATGTTCACATTACACAATGCTCAGTTTCAAAACTGGGTTTGAGCTTTAACCTTTTCTCAATCCGCCCACTAATGTATTATTTTCATGAATGTATTTCCAGACATTGCATAACATTGGTAATCTGACTAAAACAGACAATCCAGTTTGGCTAAGACAAATACTTTTTTAAAGAAAGCATATAGATGTGAAGTGATTTAATAATGAATAATACAAAATATTTGCATTTTTTTAACAAATGTATTTACATATTCAGAGTTTTGTGTGGTTTTAAATGTTACAAACTACAGGTTTCTGCTACTGTACTTGTAGCAGTGGGACATTTTTCTAAGAGGTATCTAAAGCAGGCTGTGAGGTTATTCCAATCACTCCAACAAAATGCAAAATTAAACACAGAATCTGCTCTCTTGGGCAGTTTTTTCACCCTCACTGCCTCTTCTTTTAACATGGGCTCTCAGACTTGGGAAGAAACAGCTGCTCTGGGGCGCACACCTGAGCCCCGTTACGCCACAGCTTCAAACAAGCATCTACTGCTACTGCTGTCAGTGTAGCAGCTCACAGGACGTCCACTGGCGTTAACACACGGGTTATCAATTCATGCCGCCTCTCCCCGGTCGCATTGACAGCTCGGCTTGGTGCTGCTGACCAAGCTGCATGTAAAATAAACCCTAATAGGGAGGCTTGTGACTAACCCCAAAGGAACAGGCATCTAGTTCCCTCTGTCTGTGTTGGTGTGTCATTATTGACGGTTCTCTTCCTGCAGCCCCCCTGAGTGAAGGTATTTTTGGAAACTGGAAGGATTTTGGTACTAAGTATTTTAGTGTTAGGAGTTTCTCACACTACTAAAATTGGCTGAATTATGAACAGCAGCAAATGTTTTGATCAAAATGATCAAATTAGTTCGACTCTTGTGTAGTAATTGAGACTCGGCTCTGTTCGATCAGGGACTTCTCGTCTATAAATATTAAACCATTAGGAAGTACATTAGTTTACTTTTAAACTGCCAAATTTGAGGAAACTTACCATCTGTGGATCGATCACAGGTCAATATATGTGGGTTATATCCATGGAACCCTGACATAGCTCTACCTTTGGCGACCTTACTCTGTCAACATTTGGTGTTAGGTTTAAGTGTAAAACACTGGATATAATGGCAATTTTACAAACCCTTTTCATAAATGAGGCAGAGCAAACTGTACAAAAGCATTAGAGAGCAGCGCCCAATCCTTATGTATGCAATCAGCTGAGAAACAAACCAATGTGTTGCTCTTATTAGCCACTCTGCCAACAGCAACACAGCTAAGCTAATCTCACTAAGGGATTTGACCCGTAAGTCCTAAACTGTACTTGCTTAATTCTGGAGACGGCAAGTATAAACACTGTTCTTAACCAATTTTACTCTGATTTCAATTCAAAATATGTTGAGCATTTGAACCGTTTTAGTCTGAACAGGAACAAGGATTAATTTCACCTGCAAGTAGTTTTTCATCTTGTTTTAAGATCTCTACTTGGAGCAAATCACCCTCCTGTAAAGGTGATTCCATGCACCTCAGTCCTTTTAATTTATCCTAACATGTTAGAAACAATCTCTTAATGTTTACATATTTAGAAGCATCTGTGTTGTGTAAGTCCATTAGTTTGCCAATTACTAATTAGCTTATTTGCTGCAGAGCAACAAAGTCCACTTGAGGCATTTTTCAAAAGCCCACCTTCCTTGTTCTCTACATTATCTATTAGCATGTAGTCAGTTAAAAATACTTTTATGCTCTGTTCGAAAACCTAGGACGCATCCTTAGAAGACCGGATTCGAAGGCCGATTACGTCATAGCGCGGCGCCGAGGTCTGGTCGGATTCCAAGAGTCCTCGTTATGCGGCCTTAAAATGCGTCCTTCTTTTTGCCCAATTTGAAGGACGGGTCCGATGTATCCTCGGTATTCTTGGATACCCAGGATTCATTGCGAGACCACGCAAGCCGTGATCAGAGGAAAGGTTACTTGGCGCCGAACAGTGGTGAAAATTGGAAGTTCAGTTTAATATAATCCACTCTGTGAATAGTTCCGTCTGAAATGAATGAAAAAAGTTGTTTTAATGGTTATTGAGTCAGATATGTGGCGGTAATGTTTGGTTTATCTAAAGGTTTTAATCTGTTACTGTGTAAATGGGTTTGGCTGGAATTTAAGGACAGATTCTAATATATTTGCAGGGTGGGGACTATAAATCTGATAGGATTTTTATCTTTTTATTGCTATTTTGCACAATATGCTTAACTTCCTATTTTTTGTTGTTGAATATTAGAGATTTTGCAGATATATTTTTTATACATATATTCTTTAGATTTACTTATATCGTTCTACCCCTTTTATAGAATAGAATAGAAAATCTCTTTATTTTCCCACAATGGGAAAATTTACAGCAGCAGAAAGATTATTGAAAATGGTCACACAAATGTAATAAAGTATAAAATGTATAAGAATAACATAATAGGGAAGAGTTAAAATATAAACAATGAAATACTGTAAAGTGTTTTAACAATATAAAACTGGGGAATAAATAACCAATATGCAGCTATGGACATTTTTACAGTCATGGATATTTGAAAATAGCAGCAACATCAGAGATGTGCAGAATGACAGCAGCATTTTATTTAACTGACTAAGGTTTATATCACTACATTTGATTTTATTTGTTCCTGCTCCAGATGGTTGGAACATTTATTCCACTCTGGATTCTTGTGAGTGTAGTCTTTGTTCACTTCACAATAAAAAAGAAATAAACAGTTTTGAAAACTTCTGTATTCATTCTTTTCCTGCTTTGTGTGTCAACGTTCACGGTTGCTAAGCAACAGAGCATACGGCAGTAAAACCCGCCAAAGGGTAGACCTGGTCGAATTTACAGCCAAAACTCTTCCGGTCTCCTTATTTTCAAGGACTTCGAAGGATCCAGTCTAGGTAGACCGCGTCCTTGGAGGACCCGTCCTAGGTTTTCGAACAGAGCCTTAGTGTGCAGTCAGGTGGAGGACATTTCTATTTTTCTACCAGCTCAAACAAAAACAACCCATAAAAACCAAGCTCCATTTGCAAACAGTATTCTTGCAAAGTTTAGTTTCATTATATGTTAACTCATTCAAACTTGGGAGAATGAAAATCCTTTCTAAACTAAATGACAGTTGGATTAAAATCACAACTTTTCTGGAACAATTGTGCCCCCTACTGCTGGATTACATCAAGCTGTATTAGATCGCTGCCATTTCAATGAAGATTCACTGCTGATCCATAGGGTAGTCTCATTTCACACCTGGTAGTCAAAATGCTTTAATTGAAAAATACTTATTTTTAAAAATCATCCTGTTCAACAAGATGTAGAAATATGTTAATAAAATTTTATTCTTAAAGCTATTTTGTTATGGTCAAAACGACTATGTGCTTTAGGGGCTTTATATATCAGTGTCCTCACGTCCGACTTAACCAAAAGCATGCAAAGGGTTCCCATGTTAAAATAAACACAAAAATCTCGCATCTCTCTTTTTAAAGACTTTATTTTGCAAAGTTCCATAGTTACTATCTTCACTTTTTCTTCTCCACATCCTGCTCGGCTGCCTCTTTGGCCCTCTTGGCACGAATGCCAAAAAGACGAGCGTTGGCTCGGGCCATACGCAGGCTGGCAAAAGCCTTGAATTTCTTCTCATCCTCAGAGATAACACGGGCCTTCTCTTTCTTGTAGACCTGAATAAAAAAAAAGAAAAACAAAAAAAGGGGGTGGGGATATGAGTAATTTAATTTATTGTATAGGATCAGCATCCAACTGAACCTAAAGGGCAGTCCTCAGATATAGGGTTCAAATGTTTCATCAAAGCGGTACAGAGATTCCGGAGATTTGTCATCATTAGACTGCTGCATGCTAAAGCTGGCATAACAGCCATCCAGTTATTAGGAGAAAACATTTTAAAGTGACACCGTCTATGACTTAAGATTATTTTCCAGCTAGAAATAATACACACAATATACATAATACACAATTGGGCCTTACCATTTTGATGGGCATAACTGGACCAGAGAGCTGAGTGGCCATCTTCAGTTCCTCCTCCTGAAAAGAAATCATCAATACAGTTAAATAATGATAAGGGGAAACCAACTGATGGGTTCACGTTATAAAGCCCATTTTTAACATTTAAATCACAGTAGTATAATTTTTAGAACATTAGAACCCAGTTATGAGGAGAGGATACATAACAGTGCCCTGACCAAAGCAACTAGGTGGCAACAAATAAAAACACTTACAGAGCTGTCTCCCTTCTTGGGTGCAGATGCCTTTCTGGGGAACAGGATGAGCTTGGAGCGGTACTCCTTCAGGCGCTGCACGTTGGCCTGGAGAGATTCTGTGGATCTGTTACGGCGCCGGGGGTCAACAGCAATGCCAATGGTGCGGGCTGTCTTTTTGTGGATTCCAGCAGCCTTTAAAAAGAGCAAACTGATTAAACATCTTGAGTAAGCCCTTCTACCAATGCTCAGACCAAAACCAATTCACTTAGAGCAGCAGCAGTCATCAGATAGGGGTTCAAGATTTTCATCAAGAAAATACAGAGATTCCGGAGATGTGTCATCACCTGACTGCAACAGCACCATTTTACTTTTTTTTTTGTGCCTTTTTCCAGCTTTTATAGTCATTACACTGTGACAAGTACAGAGCAACAAATGGAAGTCTGCATTTAACCCATCCCCTTGGGGAGCAGTGGGCTGCCATCGTGGGGTGCCGCGGAAGCTATGTGGGGTTAAGGGTCTCTGCTGTCTGTGGGAGTGGGGTTTAAACTCAGAACCTTTTGATTCCAAGCGGAATGGCTTAACCACTAGGCCGCCACTTCCCCATCATGACCGATTAATGCATCGATCATGATCACTAGTCAAAAATTTGTGTGTAAAACAGGTGTTTCAAGTTAAATATATCATACTATGCACATGGTTGAAAGACTGAGAATTCCTCCAGCGGATGAACTACATGGGAGAAATGTGGTATATTTTGTCACAACAACTTTAACAGAAACAGAGGAATACTTTTGATATAGATTAGATGGTATCAGGATATCTTCCCAGTATACAAACAAATTTTAACCTGCCCAAGCAAAACTGACAATTTGGATTTTTTACATCAGTGTTTGTAACTGTGGTCCTGAACGCATCCCAACTGGCATTTTTAAAATGTTTCCCTGCTGCAGCACACTTTGTTTTCCATTGATGGCTGATAATGAGCTTTGTTGAGCAGGAATCATCTTAATGAGTGCTTTAGCAGATAAACATTTAACCCATGCAGGGCTATGAACCAGAAGGGGCAGGGCTAAAAAAAACACCAGCTTATATCTAAAACAAATTGATAACTCCATTCCCTAAAATGCTTTTTATTGTCTGTTAAAAAAGGGCAGGAATGGAAGATATCCAAAAAATTTTCCAGTTTACAAGGCTCGTTTCCAAATAACCTCAGACAGCTCCCCTTTCTTCCAACTTTTAAACACACTAACACTTTAAAACAAGGAATTTTACTTTCATAACTTCAGAACAAAGTTCCACTTGGGTATAGAGCTGTCGACTGGTCATGCAGCTAATAAAACTAGAGCTGTGTTGTAGGCAGGTTCTGAGCTTCTAAAGAATATTGCACAGTACAGCAAACACATAAAGATGGCAGTCTAAATAGTTTTTAAAGCGTTACCTTGAGCTCCTCCAGGGTGAACCCACGACCGGCACGGACCTTGGTGTGATATCTGATCGTAGGACATCTAACCTGTGGTCTCAGTGGTCCAGCAACAGGACGAGGAGCGATGCGACGGGCTTTGGTCTGGCGAGCCTTTCGCCTGGGAATGAAAAGCACATTCCATTATAGTAATAAATCAAAACCCTTTGTATTTTATCCACATATCCATATCAGGGATGACAGACTGAGAACATTTTAGGGATCTACAACTACAAGTTTGCACTATTTGAGGTCAAGCCATATTTAAAGTCTTAAACTATTTAGTTAAGGCAAAGGAAAGGCTGCAAATCTGTAAACTACTATTTGACAATTAAGTTGAACAAGGAGAGAGGGTTATTTTTATTATTTTAAAAAAATTGCCATCAACCACACTCAGTCCCTCCAGCACTTGACAAACGCTTAAGACAGGTTCATGATAAAATGTAATTATTGCTAGCTTAACAAATAGAGACCAACACTACATGTTTTCTCTGCTTTTCCCTGTATGGCCTGATTCTGCACTACCAACAAAATTGTGAAAGTAATTTTAAAAAGCCAATTTCGAATGTTTGAAAATCATTGGTCCTTTTAAAGGTTTAAGTACTCAGTATATTGTACATGCATACATTTGGGTAATGTAGCTCAGATCAGAACCAGATTAAGACCAAAACAATAATACAATAGCCTATGATAGGTCAACTAAAGTCAGCACAGATAGGAAGATGATACAAGAATAACTCATAACTAGGAAACAATAAGATTTGTAAGTGTTAATATTGCACATTTTAACCTAAGTATTTCTAATACAAATACTCGGAAGTTATTTGATGGTCATCATTAGTCAGGACAGCAGCCAATAAATAATACAACAGGATCATGTGAACCCATAACAGCTCATGTCTCAATTAGGCAAAAATACAAATGCATCTTAACCTGTTTAAGTTTAATGTAGAATTTGCACATTCAGCAGATGAGGAAACATACGTGTGGGAACAAAATGGCTGGATTATAGTTCAAACAAAACAGATGTTTTAGTAGGGGACTGTTCTACTGTGATGAGCTTAAATATTCATTTCCATAGCAGATATCCCACATCTGGAATTCTCTCCACAACCACTGTCCAATTAAAAACCTGCTTCCAGTTAGCAAATAAATGAATAACCTAATAAATCAGGAGCTGTGAAACTCGAATTGCAGACAAGCCTTGCTCTGCCGCAAATATTTTCCTACATATTAGCACATCTTTGGATGCTCCGTTCACATGTGTCCCCTTCTGACTCACCTGCGGACCTTCCTGGCAGGCTGGTTGAACCAGGTACGGACACGTTTCTGCCAATCTTTGTGGAAATGAGGGTTCAGGATCATTCCATTCCGGCTGGGGGCCATGGTTGGCTAGTTCCCTGCAACACACGGAGATCAGCACAAATTCACACCGGCATGCTGTACGAGACTAAGTGCTAAAGAGATAGCATTTAAACTAGGTCCAGCAAAGTAATGTTACATTTATCTTAAGAGTTCGCTTGTCCACGCGATATACCATTTTCACATTTAACGTATCGTTTACCTTATGTTAACCTCAAATGTTACATTTAAAATATAACAGAGGAATTACATAGGCAATGCTAACGGCTACTGATGGACCCATTGGTTGAGCTAAACACATTGTTTTTGACTCATCTAGGCACAAAGTCATGTCAATACCTATATCAACTTAAAGGTCGAAATCCGCACTATTTCAATCGGTAAACAGATTTGTCAGACTCTCTTTCAGAAAACAGGATTAGGATAGATTGTATGAAAAACTGACAGAATAAATTTTCGTACCTATGAGGGAGGAAAATGGCCGAAGGGAAAAAGGAAGTTGAAAGGCGGTGCGTGATGACATAAGGTAAAACCAGCCAATGGCAGATCAGATGGGTCATCAAAGAGTAGATGCATTCAAGAGCGTTCACCACATCACCACTAAAAGATACTTAAATTTACTACACATACTGAAATACATTTCTTAATTTCTATTCCTGTCAAAACCTGTGTTATTTCAATTCTGATTTTATTTTCGCATCGTGCCCTGAGCCTTATTCTGTTTTAACAAATTCAGTTCATGAATGAGTTACAATTCCCTGTATTGCTTTAAAAAAGAAAACATATATTTTTCTCTATCAAAACACATGAAAGGGGGACATCAGTTCTTATCCTCCTTACAAGACTCATAGCAAATCAAATAGTGGTCTTTAATTTTAATCAATTTAAAGTAGTCTTTTTCTTCTTTTTTTTTTGGTAGATGGTAACCAACTTAAGGTGCATTTATCACATTCTACCAGACTGGAGTGTTCTCATCGATAATGTTAATTTAAAGTAGTCAATTTCAACAAAGATAAATAAGGTCTTAAGTTTCTTTTATACACTATCAATCTTTTTTTAATTCAATATTCAAACTAAAAGATTTTCTTATTCATCTCTCTTTGTTATCTGAAAGATAAAAAAAGATAAAAATCTTAACCTCTGTTTAGCCTCAACAGTTGAGAAGCTAAACTTTAGAATTTTTTTTTTTTTAAATCTTATTTTCAGAACTGTTCAGAAATCCTTTGGTGTAATGTGTAGCCCATGTTTCTGTCTTGATTCCTGACAGAAACAAATTACCACATTAAAGATCCCAGGCTGTCCAAAACAGAGTGAATTATTTAGGTATTTCATTATGGAAAATAAGCAACAGCCTGCAAACATGGAATCACTGAGAGAAATAGACCAGACATTGTCTCAACCATACCTAAGAAGCCTTGGCATTCTTTAAAAGTATCTGAACAAAAACTAAGTGTGGCTAAATCGTTTTCCTTAGTGAACTTTACATCCACTACAGCTACCTAGACTGCATCAGGGGAGGTGGTCGCCTTTTTCAGAGGTCTAAATGAAACGATATTTAGCATTCAGCAACAATAGCAGCAAAATAGTTGACAAAATCTTGAGCACCTGACTTTGAAAAATTTCACTGAAACCAATTTCTGTCTCACTGAATGTCAGTCAATCAATAAAACAGGTATTTTAGCTTTATATTTCTTATTTAGCCATAAAAAACAGAGGTTCAATCGTCGTACAGTATGTTCTAACTCTCGTGGCTTCAGCAGTCATCACAGCACAACTCCTTTCTGCCATCTCATATCCTCAAAATTTTAATTTAAAAAATAATTAAATTTAATATCTATAATTTTAAATAAAAATGATGTAGCTGTCACATCCTGTATAATTTCCATAGATAATAATTTTTCCATAAAAAATTACTCCTTTTCACGACCAAAACCAATTATCCTGCAGTCATGAAGTGGGTCGATTGCTGCATCAGTTGACCTATCTGAGTTGAGGGAAACTTGGGAGGATTATTTTGTCAAGTTTGTTTTTTAAGACATATTCTTTGACTGTTTTATACAACTGATCTGAAAATTTTAGAATATAATGACCCATTTCCTCAAGCATGTGCAGGGTTAATGATACACGGAGGTAGCTAAATAGGGGGTAAAAATGACTTCTACATTTTTGTGGAATTCTGTTTAGGGCCGGCTCTAGTTTCGTCAGTGCCCAAGAAGGGATTGGTTCTTTGTAAACATTTTAAATGTTCACAAAAAATATATATATAAAAGTAATAACCTGAAGAAAACATGTATGTTGGAAGGATAGAACAATATTATAACAACCAACAACTTAAGATTGCATGAAAACATGTTGGATGCAAAAGCAAAAGCAACATAAAGCTGTACTGTTGAAAGCCACACTCAAATAACCAGGGTTAGACAAAACGTTGAAAGGCAACAGCCAAAAAAAAAAAAAAAAATTAACTCAAAAGATGAGTACACTGAGAATATTACAATTGCAATTCTGCAAGTTTGCATCATGTCCAGCAGATGGCGCCCCAGGAGATTGCCTCTATCACCTTTTGGTAAACCTGACCCTGATAGTCACAGCAAAAGCTGACAAGGCGAGAAACAAGACTAGGCACTGAAAACAAGTCCAACTTTTTGATCAATAATAAGTTGCTGATGACAGCAGCCTAGCTAATGCCTCTATACATGATGATGTCACAGCCAAAACCAAACATACTGGAGGAAATTGCTATGACAAGGAAAGGCAGAGAGAACATAAAATTAGGGATTGAATAAAAAAAAAAAAACAGCAGAATGGGGGAATAAAGATAGAATAAAGCAAAATAATGAAAAGTGGTCCCTATGTCCTCCAACTGTCTAAGCCTATAGCAGCACAACTATAGAGATAGCTCGGGATAGCCAATGTAACTAAAAGCTTTATATTAAAAAAGAAAAGCTCTATAATGTCCTTGGGAAAACATTTTCTCATTTTCCAGATAATGTATAGTAAAAATAATCTGTATTATTTTTAAGCAGGGTTATTATGGATACAAGAATATGAACATCAATGAAACAGAGTGGGTGATACACTAACAGGTCTGTAATGTATTTTAGTGCTAAGCCAACCTGTGTTTTGTAGACTAAGAGTAAGGACTTTAGAACTAGGGTGGTGGTGTACTCTTTTAGTTTTAGTGAGGGGGGTCTGAGGGTCTTTACTCTGTTGGTAAAGGCTGTTTTGACAGCTACAGAGCAATCAAGTTTATAATATGTTAATAAACGATATCTAGAAACCTAAAGAGATCTGCTGTTCTTTTATCATAGGGTCTAAATTCGTGAAACTTTTTTATTTTTTTTTCTAAGCACAATTATTAAAAGTTCTAACAAAAAGTACCAAGTGCAGCTTTGGTCAATGGTTTCAGAATCACAGATTAATCATTGCTAAACTTGTTTAAGCAATCTCAGCCTATCTTTAACCAAGGGGAAAGGTCAAGGTGTGAAGAACTATAATAAGCAGAGACAGGCTGTATGCCATGTCAGCACCTGTAGAGCTTTGATCTCATGTGAGTATATCTGTGTGAAACATAATAAAAATGAAATAAAGATGATTATTGTTATGATTATAAAGATGTAATGTGAGGGGAAATGCAAGAGATTTATGGCACATGAAGTGATACTCAAAAACTTCCAAATGTTTTATTCAATGAATTATAAACATAACGTTCTAGTGTTTTAACACATTTGCCTGCTATTAAAAATAGAGCAAAAATACTGACAGATTCTATGCACAAGAGCCCTTCAGATTTACTGGTGATGTAAAAAAAAATGTACCTTTAACATGGAAAATGTTACAGGGTATTTAAAATTATAAAGCACACTTTCAAGTGTTCATAAAAGAAAGAAAAAAATACCACAAAGAATTCCAGTTAAATCTATCTGCTAATTCTTGACTTCAGTTATATAGCAAGTCATCTTAGTGAGATTTTTTTATTATTATTATTCTTCCAGTGATTTAATAAATTTATCATAAGCAGGTTGGTCTATGAGCTTTTCAAGTTCTTCAGGCTTTTCAATGGTCATCTTGATCAGCCATCCTGGGAAAAAAAATAAAAAATACATTTCTTTTCAGGAATGATTACAGAACATTACAGGAATGATAACAGAATGAGCATTGAGACTAACCGTCTGCATAGCAGGACTTATTGACAAGTCCTGGGTTCTCGGCTAGCTCCGTATTGATTGCTGTCACTTCCCCTGTTAACGGTGAGTACAGCTCACTGGCAGCCTTTACACTTTCCAAGGCACCAAACTCATCTGCAACACAAATTCACAAAGATAAAGCTTATCACACGACTATAAACTCTTACTACATGTGCAATATATCCCTGGATCTTACCCATTTGTTCAAGTCTTTGGCCGACCTCAGGAAGCCCGCAGTAAACCACATCGCCTAAGGCTTCCTACAATGGAAAATGACATTGTGTTTAACAGCCACCTCATTTTGGGAAATTCTTGCCTATTTTGCATACTCAAATGGAAAAGCAAATAATTTAGGAGCTGTAAGCCAAAATTACATGTGCAATACATTATTTGAAAGCTAACAAGCTAAAGCTAAAGACATGCTTGAGAAAAGTAAGGTCTAATTGTATTACATTTTTTCTACATCATGCAAACCAAAAATGCAGAATATTTCAGACCTCTAGCTACAACAGTTCCAGAGCTGTGGGTCTTTCACATTTTGGTGTCATCAGCATCTCCAAACCTCTCCAAATGTGCCAATTGCCAAATGCTTTTACTATGCTTATCTTTACTATTTGACCCATAGAATAAAACCAAAGCATTTTGATGGTCACAAAACATTTATGAAGTATTTTCCACTTCTTTTCAGAATCAGTGTATATAACAAAATGTAAAATTTGTACACCTAAAATAACATTAAAATCTATATTTTAGCTTCTCAAGCTAAAATAAGCCCAAGTGCCTTTTCTGAGCTGTATTTTATTTAATTTTTCAGCCTTAAGCATTGTAATTAAACTAAATAAGCATCCAAATGGTCCAAAAAAAAATAAAAATAGGACTGTTGTAATTATTCAGCTTGGAGCTGCGTGCATTGATCCATCCGCAGCTGTGTGTTCAACACTTAAGAAAGCTGGTAAAACGGATCTGCCTGTTATAACCTCGTAATGTGTATACTTGTTTGAAACCTTATTTCATTGGCTACAAAGCACAAAGGCCCATGTGGTCCTAACCAATAACAGCAGGACTCTATGAGGCATAATATCGCACTAATCAGTTCGGCACTGCCTGACAGGAAGTGACCAGAAGTGACATTTCTGGAACTATATCTGTCTCAAATAGCGTCATAAAAAGATAGAGACACTTTTGTCTTGTTGATAAGAAGACGTTGTAAAGAACCATACCAAACATTTTGGGCTAACAATTGAGAAAATAAGTATTAGGAAGTAAATATTAGATGCTAAGCATTAGCTATGACCAGCTAACTTTTCTGATGTCAACAACCAGATGTTATGGGCGATTTTCTCATCATGGAATATTTTTATTACGAATATGCTGGATTACTTTTAATCTGTGGACCCTTATGGACAAATGGAGTACAAACAATGGAAGATTGGATTTATAAAACTACATACTGTCACAGTCTTGGTTCTGTTATATTTTTCTTTTGAATATTCAGTTTTACTTTGCTCCATGTTTTCTAGTTTTAGTGTTTTAATTCTTATTTTGTTGTGTTTTCTGGTTGTTTTTTATTTGTTGTCCTCTGCTGCCCTCTTGTGTTCTCATTTTTCACTAGCTCCTTTCCTGTCTGCTCTGTTCACACCTGCTCCCAATCTGCTCGTTAGTCCTCTCTTTGTTCAGTCTCCCATAAATACACACTTTGTGCACTTCCTCAGTTCTGATTCCTCATTTAACTTCCTCCAACTCCATCTCTCTGAGTCTTTCTCATCGAGATTGTTTTTTTCCCCTGATGTCTCTATGGTTTCTGGTTTGTTTGACTTTTTTCATGTTTGACCTTTTGGATTTTTCGATTCCTGCCTTTGTTGTCTGTTAACAGTTCATTAAATCATCAAGAAACTCGCCTCTGCCTCCGGGTCCTCAAACCACAACCAAATCCTGACACATACATATTATCAAATGTATGTACCGGTAGTTGTAGCTGCTTTGTCATGTTTACATTTTGACATGCAGCTATATCTGTGTTAATTGTGCTTTGGCACTCACTGTGTCCATAAAATCAACTAGGTGGTTGTATTGGGGAGAATCTAAGCTTTCCAACGATGTCTAACATGTCTATATTGGTAAACATTTTACCGGTGGAATTTTATTAGTTATTAGTTGTAAACGCGTTGCGCCGGGTTGCTGGCTATCCAGTGGATATACGAGGATAAATTATTATTTTATTTTACAAATTTCTAATTTTGTGATATTACAAACACATACCTCAATGCATTTTATAAGGATTTATTTCTCACGATGAAAATAAAATAACATTTAATGGTGACAAGGAGAACATTTTCCTCTTTTTAAATGCAGTTCTGAAAACTGAGGGTTTGTCCTTAAATAAAACCCAGTGAAACCAGTATGCCACAGCTCTGAACCTACATTTAGGCTTCACTCCATCTCCATGCAACACACTATCTCCTGAAAGATACTGGAGACAGCATTATGAGGTGCCCCCAGGGACATAAATCAGAATTAACTTGCATATACATATATTAATTACACTCTTCCATATAATATACTGAAAACCTCACACAAACACTAGTAAAAAGCTCTCACATAAACTAGTGAAAACATTTACCTCTTATATAATCTACTCAAAAGCTCTCATACAAAGTAGTGAGAACTGTTCATATAAACTGGTGAAAAAGCTTTACCTTTCATACACACTACTAGAAAGCTTTCATATACACTATTAAAAAGCTCTCATATACACTACTAGAATGCTCTCATATACACTACTAGAACGCTCTCATATACACTATTAGAAAGCTCTCATATACACTATTAAAACGCTCTCATATACACTATTAGAACGCTCTCATATACACTATTAGAACGCTCTCATATACACTATTAGAACGCTCTCATATACACTACTAGAAAGCTCTCATATACACTATTAGAACGCTCTCATATACACTACTAGAACGCTCTCATACACGCTACTAGAAAGCTCTCAAACACACTACTGGAAAGCTTTCATACACACTATTAGAAAGCTAAAATATATGGTCCCCCTCCTTTAATTTAGGCAAACATTGCTCAAATATCACCGAATCCAGATGGTTTGTTGTTGATAAAGAGAGGAATAAACACAGTTTAAGATTTGCAGCTAAATTAATTTGTTTCCATATTATGGAACTGCTATCAGGCACTTCCCATCATCTTATATCAGTAATAAAAAATTATAAATACAAATTTGGTATTTGGTGACTTGACTTTTATTTCTGTCAGGCTGAAGTGAAAAAACTTGGAAAGAGACTGATTCTCTTGGCGTTTAAAATAACAACACAAAACAGCATAAGAAAACCGCATTTATTTTTTTTATTTTACAATTTTGTAAACAACAGCGGCTGATTAAACTAAATGTCTCAACCTTGTATAATTTTACGACTTTTTATTTAACCAAGAAATGATCCGAAAGGCCTGGGAAATGATCAGATCCGCTTATGTGGCTGCAATGCGCGGCGCGCTCCCGACACAGGTGGAACAGATTTTCACATGGGAACAGAATCTCGCACAACACCGGAAAAGGATCTCTGTTGAAGCAAAAACATAAAAAATAAAGTCGAGTAATGCCCATGCTTCTGTGAGTTGTTTAGCGGATAGCTGAGCATGAATCAATAATTTTATTTGATACAATTTCGGCCGGAGATAGCACAAAATGTACGGAGCTAGCCAGAATGACCTCCGTTTAAAACAACTTCCGGTGTAATGACGGTCCTTCCTGTTTCACTGAAACACCTTCCGTTTCAACTGAAATCCGCTAATAGCTTTTCAGTAGTGTGTATGAGAGCGTTCTAGTAGTGTATATGAGAGCTTTCTAGTAGTGTATATGAGAGCGTTCTAATAGTGTATATGAGAGCGTTCTAATAGTGTATATGAGAGCGTTCTAATAGTGTATATGAGAGCTTTCTAGTAGTGTATATGAGAGCGTTCTAATAGTGTATATGAGAGCGTTCTAATAGTGTATATGAGAGCGTTCTAATAGTGTATATGAGAGCTTTCTAATAGTGTATATGAGAGCGTTCTAATAGTGTATATGAGAGCTTTCTAGTAGTGTATATGAGAGCTTTCTAATAGTGTATATGAGAGCGTTCTAGTAGTGTATATGAGAGCTTTCTAGTAGTGTATATGAGAGCTTTCTAATAGTGTATATGAGAGCGTTCTAATAGTGTATATGAGAGCTTTCTAATAGTGTATATGAGAGCGTTCTAATAGTGTATATGAGAGCTTTCTAGTAGTGTATATGAGAGCTTTCTAATAGTGTATATGAGAGCGTTCTAATAGTGTATATGAGAGCTTTCTAATAGTGTATATGAGAGCGTTCTAATAGTGTATATGAGAGCTTTCTATTAGTGTATATGAGAGCGTTCTAGTAGTGTATATGAGAGCGTTCTAGTAGTGTATATGAGAGCTTTTTAATAGTGTATATGAAAGCTTTCTAGTAGTGTGTATGAAAGCTAAAGCTTTTCACCAGTTATGAACAGTTCTCACTACTTTGTATGAGAGCTTTTGAGTAGATTATATAAGAGGTCAATGTTTTCACTAGTTTATGCGAGAGCTTTTTACTAGTGTTTGTGTGAGGTTTTCAGTATATTATATGGAAGAGTGTAATTTCATATGTGTATATGCAAGTTAATTCTGATTTATGTCCCTGGGGGCACCTCATACAGCATCATGGTATGAAAATGTTTTTGTGTTTTTACATGAGCAAGGAATTGACAGAGCTGTTAGAAGGAGGGTAATACTGGAAAACCAAAGTAGTAAACCGGTTAGAAACGGCAAAGGACTATAACCCTAAACACATAAACAGACCTTTAATGAATTTCCAGCGTTTACATATGTTGGAGAGAACCAGAATTGAATGGTGAGGGGTAGACTTCACAAATATGCAATATGAAAATCTTAAAAATCGATGTTCACAAACTTTCCAAAATAACTGAAGCAGACACAGCCGACCCTTCAAAAGACTGCAATCTAAAATTACAGCAAAATATAGTTATATGAATTACAGATTCAATGGAGCGAAATAGGTTCACAAACAGCTCTTTAGATTTTTATTTGTAGAACACTTAAAATAATTATACATTGTCCCCAACACTTAAGAAATAATGTCACAAAAGTGTAAATTATATAGACCCAAAACATAATAATTACACACAGCTGGTGGAGGTGTTCATGGTGGTGCGTTCTTTGTGAGAAACATTATTAGCTGTCCACCAGACATAATATTTTACAAGTAGAGAAAAAAAAATTATATATATATATATATATATATATATATATATATATATATATATATATATATATATATATATATATATATATATATATACACACACACATTTAGGACATGCTTTTAATTACTTAGGCAGATTGCCCCTTTCAAAAACTTCTTCAAAACCTGTAAAGTATAGTTAACTGGGTGCATTTCACTCCTGCTTGCTGATCATCTCCTAAAAAAATCTGTATCTATTCTTAAAATGAGGCACCTACTTTTGCTGCTTGGTGGTAATCAATCATCCCAAAGAATAGTCATAAAGCAGTAAAGTACCCCGATACCGTGGCTCTGCTGAGAGCAAAGTGCAGCACTAAACACCTTTTAGATTGCCACCAGGAAAGTCAGAACAAAGAGTCCCATAAATGAAAGATTAGTGGAATGACGGAATAAAAAAAACAAACCTGAGCGTAGTTGCTGATACCCACAGTGCTGATTCCACTCTCTACCAGCACCCACTCATGCTTCTCAGTAAACTTGAGGGCTAATGAGAAAAAATTATTGCATGTTTAAAAAGGGTTTTGTGAAGAGTAAAAATAAAGCTGATTATTCATACAGGAAAAACAAAAATACATTCTGAGGAGCTTTATGCACACACACCTATCTATCTATCTATCTATCTATCTATCTATCTATCTATATATATATATATATATATATATATATATATATATATATATATATATATATATATATAATTATGCAGTAAACATCATGCAGCATGGTGAGCTTTTCTGCAGGTGCATTTAGGAAAAGGCCTCTGCAGATGCAAAAACAACTTGTGTCCACAGTCCTTATTCACAGTGCGCTGAAGCATTGTATTTCCAAGCCCATGCTGTCAGCCCTACAATGCCCCAAGCAGGCTTTTTATGCCTCAACAATTTCCAGTGCCTGCATCAGATCATGCAGAAACATACAGGTTTAAACCAGATTCTGGGATGGTGCTAGATGCTGAAGCATGAATAAAATCATGTGATACAAATAAATCAATGTAAATACCTTATTCTGCCTTCATAAGGCATAACTCCAGCATGGAGATGTTTGCATATTGGTGCACATGGGTTTGCACTCAACAGCCTAATTGGAAGCTCGTGGTTAATGACATAAGGCATATGCAACACGTGCTTATAGTCACGGGATAAATAATAATAAAAAAAAAAGTAAAGTAATCAAATACCTAGATGGTCTTGTATTTCTGCGTTCCACAAACACTGACATCATTATTTATTTTCCTGTTTTAGTAGCTGATTAAAATAAGCTGTCTGTCCGCATGGAGAGTTGGGTCCATCCCTGCTCCCTTGTTTTGCTTTGCTTTTCTTTACCTTTGCAGTGGACCGAAGTGGTGCTGAAAGTCCGCCAGCAGCCGCTCCTGTTCCCGTAGAGCAGCCGAGTGGCTGGAACCAGCGCTGGGGGCGAGAGTCTGCACAGCCTGGGAGGAAAGTTTCCAGAGAGACACCGCAGCGCTGCTCTCATCGCCATCTTCATTCACTCTGCACCGCAGCAGCGGCGTTTAACCCACAACACACACATGCACCCCCCCACCCCCACCACACACACACTTACACAAAACACTCGACCGCGGGAGCGCGCAACAGTGGGATGGGGCGCGCTCCCGCATGGACAGCAGTGGAGGAGGAAAGACCAGGGGGGCAAAGGTCAGAGGAAGCTTATGATCAAAGGATTGTTTTAAAGTGATTGGTTAATTGACTGATTGATTGAGTTATTGATTTTCTTACAAAGTAAGTATATATTTGTGTAATTACAGATTTGTAATATTGTGTAATCCATGCATTTATCTGAATTTGGCAGGGTTGAGTTGTGGTTAGAGGACCTGTTAGGTTTCTGTTTCTGTTATGTTTTTTTCTTTTGGATGTTCAGTTTTGCTTTCCTGTTTGTTTTAGAGTTTTTTTATGGTTTAATTGTTATTTTTTGTGTTCTTTGTTTACTTTCTTAGTCTTGGTTCTGTTATGTTTTCTTTTGAGTGTTTACTTTTACTTTGCTCCATGTTTTTAAAGTCTTAGTGGTTTAATTCCTATTTCGTTGTGTTTTATAGTTATTTTAAGTCTTCCAGGTTTTTATTTGCTGCCGTCTTGTGCTCTCCTTTCTCCCTAGCTCCCTTTCTGTTCTGCTCTTTGCTCACCTGTTCTCAAACTGCTCATTAGCACTCTCTACTGAAAAATACAGCACATATCTCCATCAACACAGTGTTCCTTTAGATTTTTTTCATATCCATATAATATTGAATGACATTACAATATTTTAACTGCCACTGGTAATAATATAGATGTGTATTTTTCCTTCCATAGTAAATATTTCTACAGCGGCCTACGGGTGTAAAGGTGCACCGTTTTTTTTTTTTTTTTGTCGCATGTTTTTTGTGTTTGTAATAATTGAAAATTATTGATCTCACATTGGAAAAATTTACCTCTGCATTTAACCTACCCTCTTAGGGAGCAGTGGGCTGCCACTGTGCGGCGCCCGGGGAGCAGCATGGGGTTAAGAGTCTTGCTCAGGGACCCAGAGGGAAGCTTGAACTCAGAACCTCAGGATTCTAAGCTCTATGCCAGAACCACTAGGACGCCACTCCTATTTGTGCAGCTCGTCCCAGTTTTCTGTGCATTTGCACCTGTCATCCATCTAGTTAAAATGGTTGTTTTATATTAGACATAACCTGAGTAAATGTTTGTAATATATAATCAAATCGTTAAGAAAATTTAACATACCAACACCTGTGAAACAGGATGGTAGCAATGTGCAGGAAAGTAAGGGACTGCTTTGCTTCTCTAGCAGAACATTTCTTCATTAATAATTTCACCTTCTCCTACAACAATTCTTTAAAAGAATTGTGACCTTTATTTCAGTGAAAAAGCAGTGGAAAACCCCACTTCTAAATTACAAAAATGAAAAGATGTTATTGTAGTAGCCTAGTCAGTCTGAACTGAAATCTGTTTGAGGTGCTGTGGCCTTTTTAAAAATATCTTCATGCTTGAAAACCCTTGATTGCAGTTAAATTGAAAAGTTTCTGCAAAGAAGCTATCCAGTATTCCTTCAAGCCCTTAATTATTGTGATGGGTTAAAATGTAATAAGGTTATTTAAAAACTACATCTTGCATTTACTCAGGTTGTATTTGTATTTTTCTGATCTGAACATAAATCTTTAGAAGGGATAAAAACGTTTTAATAGCATTATTCTGTGTCCTTCGACAAACTTCATCCTGGATAGTAACCACTGGACTTCACTTGTTTTTGTCATAAATTAATAATAACACAGTGAAATTAAAATAGTGAGTTTTAGATTTTCCCATGCATTTCCCTTTCATTCACTTCTTAAATAAAATCTGAGAAGATGGATTTTATTTAGTCAAGACATTTATTCTTTTGGTAACAAACATCTTAGTTGAGGAACAAACATTTGTATTTTATTCAAATCTATTGTTATTTCATTTTCTCAGAAGATTAATATGAAGTCTGAGGAACCAACATGAAAACCCTAAACAAGGAAACAAGCAGATTGGTTAAAAATGACATGAATTAACAAAAAAAAATGCTTCAAACACCAGTTTTGAGTAGTTGCTTAGGTGTAAATCCAATTTATTATTTTGGTTTTCAGAATGAAAGACTCCCTCAGTAACTCAGATGTATGGAGTAACCACCCCCAGGTTTGCACATGACAGTGGATCAAGTCATATTCACATAATTTCTGGATGAAATATTTACCCTCTGGATAACAGAGACCACTAAAACCTTTCAAAATACGGAGGAGAAAGTCGGTATGATGAGCAGATATAATAAAAACAAGAGTAATACCAGCTAGCCATATGCCATTGAAATAATAATTTCCCTTAATGACCAATCAACTTCAATTCTTAACAAACCAACACAGATAAAACAAAATCTGCATATCCATTCAAGACTTGGACTTGACAGGAACCCCTGCAGATATGCGACAGCTGGAGAGACCAGAGGTCATGGCCTTAGGTAGATGTTTGAGGGCCTTCAGCCTTCTTGTTGTCATCTGGCTTCATGGCTGGGAACAACAACACCTCCTGTAAAAGACCAAGTATTACACTTTGATGAAGATTCTTCCTCTGATGATGTTTGGGATCATTTGTATGTAAAACTAAAGGCTTGGGCTGCCTACTCAGCCAGGATGTAAAAAAGGGATCTTCAGCTAACCGTAACCCTGACGTTAACCTGTTGGTCATTACCCGTCAATTGTTTTACCACAAAAACTTGTTTTAAGATGTGTTTAAGTGCACCACAAAACTTTACCGATGTAATGTATCAAGATTATGATTTTACATTTTAAATATGCCTTTATAGAGTGAGGGAGTCCCTCCAATAGCCCAATCAGTCTGCCAGTTAAGCAAGTTAAGCTTTGAACTTTAATATAATACAAAAAGACCAAGAAAGCTTTCCGTTTGTGCTGTGGATATAAGAGACATACCTGGTTATTATAATAGTGGTAATAGTGGTCATTTTAAATGAATCAAGCAGTTAAAAAGCAACTCCTTAATAACTCTTTAGCTATGTTTTGACTAAAAAGTAAAATGTCAAACGTCTTAAGCTTTGGGATTTACATGTAGCATGTTAGCATTAGATGAAAGGAGAGAACCAGTTGTGTTAGTACTGCCACCCCCTGGACTAAAGATGTAATGCAGTTTCTCTCAGGCTCAATGTGCTGCTCAATGGGCGAGTGAATAAGGAGTTATCCAGGATTCCATATACAAATTCTGGGGCTTTAAATCCCAGGGCTTTCGATGGAAAAGGGGCAATAATGGTATATTTTTTTTTATCAATCATCAACCATTATAAAATAGAATTTAAAGAAAAGCATGAACTGCCTGCCTCTTCTCTTTACCCATTGCAAGTTACAATGGGTAACTTGCAAACTGATAGCCCTCAACATTAAACAAAAAGGCTGATAAAGTTTTTTTCAAATAGGATACATTTTAGCATAAATGAGAGTAGATAAAGGATTCTCATGTTTGATCTAATAGAATTAGAGCCTAGAAGACAGGTGCCTTTCCAAACAGTCTCACACTATAATGGCCATTTCCTATTCGTTAGAAATGTTCCTGGACTCAATTTCCATTTTTAAAAGTCACACAGCAACAACACCACAAATGAGTAGGACTTTACATTGGGTGCTATTCTTTATACAAGTGCTTTTTATATGCCTCTTTGACACGTGACATTTACAGACATTAATGAAACATGGAATGAGAGGAGTGCAATTGATGCATTCTTTAGAGCATTGCTCTTATGTTCATTTGTTTATTTTTTTTATGCAGGTTGTTTTTCAAGTCAGCTTTCCTTCCCGTTTCCTCATTGCTACTGCCCTACTTCCTCTTTTAAACCTGATCCACTCATTTTACTTCAATGCTCAGACATCCATGATGATCTGGATTGATTTCCTGCTTTGCAGTTTTATTTATTGCATTCCATATTGTTAGGGCAACAAGAGCCAGATTTCTATTATATGCCTGTGATATACAAAATCTACATTACACCTGTTCTATTTAGGATTATGAAAATTTTCTATTTGCCTGTGTAAAAAAATAAAATAAAAACACGTTTCATGAACGGCATAAAAATAAAGATTTTACAAAAAAAGATTTTCCTCAAGCAATGATAATGAAATAGAGATGTACTTGAAGTTAAGAGTAATCTAACTATTTATAAAATGAAATCACAATTGACAATATTGCTATTTTTTAAACTGAGATTACATTACTACCAACAGTATCTTGTGTGTGCTATTAGCTAAATATTTTAGCATTTTTAAATGGACTCTGGAGAGCATTTTCAGGTTGTATAAAATCTGCTTTGCAGAAATTAAAAAATGTTTCACCAGTTGGCTTGTATAAGGATTATAACGACAAAGTTACCTTAATGTTGTTGGAGTCAGTGAGGAACATAGTGAGACGGTCGATTCCCATCCCCCAACCAGCAGTTGGAGGCAGACCGTATTCCAGTGCTGTGCAGAATGTCTCATCAATGAACATGGCTTCATCGTCACCCTCAGCTTTTGCCTAAAGAGAGCCGCCTTAAACCATCAGTATGGTGCAAAAAGTAAGAGTGGAAATGCTTCTATAGCAGGATAATGCGTCTTTACAGACCTTGGCTTGCTGCTCAAACAACTCTCTCTGTCTGATTGGATCATTCAATTCAGTGTATGCGTTGCAGATTTCCTTCTTCATGACAAAAAGCTCAAAACGCTCAGTTAGACCTTTTTCTGATCTGTGCCTAAAACAGAGAAAATGACCACGTTCAGAGTTGCACAAATAATTTAAACCTACAATGAAAATCTATTTACTTCGTACCATTTTGCCAAAGGACTCATGATTTGAGGATGATCACAGATGAAAGTGGGGTTGATGCATTCGACCTCCAGAAAATCTCCCACCAACTACGGAGCAAAGAGCAAAATATTAACACAACGATGAGAAACAACCATGAGGTTTTCATAAAGCTCCTCCTGTAGCACCTTGTCGAGGAGGCGGGCAGTGGTCCTGGGTGGAGGACACTCTACACCTTTTTGGGCACAGAGATCATCAAAGAATTTGCGGGTTTCTGGAAAAAAAACAAACAAGTATCTTACATCAGATGCTGTATACAACGTAAAAGAACGGCTTCAGATGAAGATTATAACTGTATAACCTCTTGATGATATTAAGTCAGTCAACTGGTTTGATAGAATAACTCCATACCATCAGAGTCGTAGGAGTCAGTAGGCGGGAATTTAACTCCCATGATCTTCTCCAGGTCGTGCGTCATGCTCACTCTTTTGAACGGAGGTGTGAAGTCAATTTCATAGGCTTTGCCCTCTGGACCGTCAGGATGGTAAGTCACCTTGTATCCTCCAGTGATGTGCTTCACCATTCCTGAAAAAAACACAGCATAACAATAAGAGGGACAGAAGTTTGATAGCGTGTCAGTATCTGAGAGGATAGTTAATGGCTCGATGAGAAAAGAAAAAAAACTATTTAATAATAGTTGAACTTTATTGATCTCACATTTGGAGAAATTTACCTCTGCATTTAACCCATTCCCTTGGGGAGCAGTGGGCTGCCATAGTGGGGAGCCCAGGGAGCAGTGTAGTGTTAAGGGTCTTGCTCAGAGACCCAGAGTGGCAGTCTGTGGGAGTGGGGCTTTAAACTCAGAACCTCTGGATTCCAAAGCTCTATGCCCTAACCACTAGGCCACCACTCCCCAAAATGTTATTAAGTTTTGCAGTGATCTGCTAATAAACCTTTCATTTTATTCAAGCATGTGAAACTGCGAGAATATATTAAAATAATGGTCATGAGAACCAGCTTCAGACAACACCCCTCTTGGTCATTAAGAAATGCATGTCATTCTCATCTAATTGTTCTTATTCCCATGTTCTTTGGCACACCCAGTAAATTGTTAAAGCAAAGCTCCATGTCTACACCTTGAAGCTGTCTCTCCGGTTCTTTTTCCTGAAAAGAAAACACTCGAGACAAACTCTTTAAATAACACTTCATAATGTATGTGTATTAAATTACCATGAGACATGAAAACAGATTTATTAAAATTATAATCTTACTCAGATCAGAGAAGTTGCTTTGAGTTACAGAAGGCAGCTGTTTACCAATCAGGCTCACTTCTTGGGAAGTTGTGCCAATAAACAGTTAATGAAGCTTTTTATACCCCTCCAGTATGCCACACAATCACATCACTACATCATAGACGTTAGGCTTATTAAAATATTACACTTTGTTCTTAGCTAACGGACACTGCTTTCATTTCATTCCCAAATATTTGCCACATGCAGAATGAAGATTATAACTATATATCCTGACAGAGGAACTGTCCTACTTAGATAAACTACTGGGAAAAACCATCAGTTCTGACATGGAACAGGCAGCTAATATTAGGGTGTAATGAACTCACATCTTTGATAATTATCCTAACAAAATACGATGCAAATTACGATGCAAATTATTCATCTTATTAAATCGCAATTCAAGTTGGTCTCTATGACATCATTTTTAAGTAATGTGGGAGTTGATCATCCAACTAAGGTTTGGGGTTTTTGATTAACTAAATATGTTTGAATCATTTACTATAAAAGCAGTATTATATCAGCAGTATTAGATATCGATAAGCTCCTCTTATCAATATTGATTTTGGGTAGAAGGTGATTAACCTAAAGGGTAACTGCTAGTTAAAGTGGGCCCAACACATGTTAAAACCACTCCCATGAAACATGCTTTATGGAGTCAAGTAAGATAGCACAGAACATGATGATAAGTGCCATATTACTGTTGCAAGGGACAAGGACAATATTTGATAGAATGCCGTGTGTTAGAGGGCTGCATGCAAACGATACATGCCAAATATTTTGACTCCTTGATAAACTTTTACTGCCATTTGATTCCAGCACTTGAAATCACTTGTTTTTACAGGCCCAGATCTAAAGCTCAGAGTGATTATTTATAATAAAATATAATTAGCTTTATTGATGGCCTACAACCCTTAAAAAATAAAACAAATGCACAATATGTTTTAGTGAAGCTAGTGATGCAAAGATTAGCTTGGAAAACCATCTCGGTTAAAATAAAGACAAGTTAAGAAGAGCTTTATGAACTAAAGTGACACAATGATCGCTCTATTTAATAAAATAAAAAAATAAAAAAGGAAATATGTTTGGATGACTCTGAGGAGAAGCAGCTTGAAAATAACACAACAATAACAGATTAATACAATTCTTTAATGATAAAAGAAAATTTAAAAGGCTGTTTTAAGAAGAAACATTTCTTACTACTTACCCGACAGCAGTTTCTCTGTGATGTCCATCAAGTCATGGTAATCTGCATATGCCATATAGAATTCACAGGTGGTGAATTCTGGATTATGAGTGAGGTCGATGCCTTCGTTCCTAAACTGACGACCGACCTCATACACCCTGTCCAACCCACCGACCACAAGCATCTGTAAAGGTTTAATTAACCATTTAGCTCAAATGATAAGAGAAGCATTTTTGCTCAAATGGAGCAAAGAGGCTTTGAGATTTCATTTTTCTCAAACTGCCTGAAACTGAGAGGATCAGCTTTTGAGAGACAGTATTTACCTTGTGGTAAAGCTCTGGGGCAATCCTCATGAAGAGGTTCATATCCAGCTCATTGTGGTAGGTAACAAAGGGACGGGCCACTGCTCCACCAGGGATGATGTTCATCATTGGCGTCTCAATCTAAAATTATTAACACAAACTTCAGGGAAACAGGCTACCACTAGAAAGTAGATAAAACCAATACAACAAAAATCTGCCACATATGTGGTTTAGCAGGATAGACTTGTGCTAGGATCAACTTTAGGATTCCAAAAACACAGATTACCTCCAGGAAGCCCATCTGATCGAGAAAGCTTCGCAGGTACGTGATAATTTTGGCTCGAGTTAAGAACTTCTGCCTCACGTAGTCGTTGAGAATCAGGTCCAAATAGCGCTGGCGGAATCTGGTTTCCTTTTCATGAAAATAAATAAATCAGAAGAAGAAAGTCATGTAGCCTCACATTTCCCATGCATCAAACAATATAACCAACATAGTTTTTTTTTTTTGTGACATATATAATCAAAAAAAATAAACAAAAGAAGTACAAGAGCCATTTCCTAATCGTTTGCATTGGCACATATACTACTACTTCAAATAAACAGGCATAGTATCAAGCCCAAGGTGTTTCATGATATCCATTTTTAGGAGGCATGAATTAGTTTTACTTCAGCAATCTGAGCACATCCAGGCCGAGTTCTGGACCGCCCCAGCGAGATAAATTTGAAATTGGCCATGAACAAATATGCACAATTAAACACCCCTGTAATCACTATTAAAAAAGACAGATGTCACATATCTGTGAAGCAGAACATCTGAGGTAAAGAGCTGCTGGAGGAGCGCTATGCAGGGTGAGTGGAAACGCAGAACCTGCAGGTTGAAGGATTTTCCATCAATGACTTTAAAATAACCGTACTTTAGTGTAAGGCTTTGGAACGAAAGAAATACCTTTATCATTTCTATTTATTATACATTGTTAAATATTAATGATTTGTCTTTCAATTTATTTTAAATTAAACTGGGAAATGCCCTGAGAATTACAATCTTGGAACTCCCAGGTAATAGTGGAATTCAAAGAAAAGAAAACAGAGTTTCATTACCCAGTGCTATCCAAAAAACAAAGTCTTATGCCCCTTAGATTATGAATACAAGAGCCTAAGAACAATGATGCTGCCAAGAACTGGGAAAGAAGAATGTGTCCAAACAAAAGAGCAGAGAGCCAAATAAGGAGCTCAGATGAACATTAAAGAGAAAAATATTAAAAATAATAACAGTAATATTCCTCAGGGGTGGACCCGTTCGTCTGTTTCAATTTGCATGTTGTCTAAGCAAAACAAGGCTTTGTCGGGCCACTGTATAAAGCAACTCTGTGCTATTTCTGACATTTGAATTGAAAAAGCTTCCTGGATGGGAAGCGAAACGTCTTTAAACTTGGAAACAAAGACCAGTGGTCTGTTTTTAACTTTTTTGGAATGACTATGACCTGGATGACTGAGAATATTTACCAACAAAAATAACAGTAATGTTTCAGTCCAAAGTCAGAATACAATAACAACTGTTAATTGTAGAACTAGTATCGTTTTGCTCCTGATTTCCATTTGGCAATTAAAGAAACAAGGCAGTTAATAACGAACAGGGAAGGAAACAAGAAGGAGTGACTTGTGATGACTCAGAAGAAATGAAAGAAAAATATAAATAAAAAGATGACCTTCATATTCAGCCCTGTTCAGTTCAAGTATATTTGTGGCAGGTTTACCTTGTCTTTAAGGCCAAAGTGGAGGTGAGGCAACATGTGCAAACATGGTGACAGCAGGGTCATCTCAATGGGAATGATGCTCAGCTCTCCCTTCTTTGTCTTGCCAGGATTTCCACGGACACCGATGATGTCACCACGACGCAGCTTGTTGTTGATGGCCACAAAAGCTTCCTCAGACTTGTAGCTCCTGACAGATTTAAGAAAATACATAAAAAAACAAAAAAAAAACACAAAACAATACTGAGGTCTGAAATGAATTTCCAATCATTGCTCAGTCTAGAAAAGCTCAGGTTACCGTGAGTTTGCCATAACTTGCAGCTTGACTCCTTCACCACGCAAGTCATAGAAGAGCAGCTTAGCACCAGATGCCCTCTTGGCATGAATCCGACCTGTAAAATATTTGTTAAGTTTAACAGAGGATAAGAAGGTGCATTACTCTAGAAAGAGGAAAAATATATAAAATCATAACCTCTTCTTGGTACCTGACACATTGAGAACGACGTCGCTCAGCTGGTCACCAGGTTGTAGGTGGTTGTATTTCTCAATGAAGTCTGTGAGTGACAGGTCTACTTTATACTTGTGTGGGTACGGATCCTCAGCTGTGCCCTTCAAGTCTTGGATAGCCTGGCTGCGGATCTTGAAGTATTGCTGTAACAAAGACACATTAATATCCAGTCTGCAGCAACTTCTGCATAAAAACTGTACTACAGGCATTCTGCAGATCTAACAAATATGCCTTTAGCATCAACTAGTAAACATCACAGCTTTATTTGAAATAAAGTAGCTCTTTGTTGTTTAGAGGAGGTCTTACAGATTGTCCAGTTTGTCTTTAAGGAGTTGGATTTTTCCAACTAAAAACAACAATCTAATCAGAATGACTTTTTGTTTTTATGCAGCAGATTCTTGCATGATGGATCATAACATTTTAATTGACCTTGAATGGAAAATTTTATTCAGATTCTTTCAGATTCTTTTTGAATCGATATTAAGGGCACACCCAGTTTAATCCCTCTTGGCAATCATTCAGCACTGTAACTAATGAACAGGTTCCGACTCAAAGAAGCACGACACTGGGAGGATTTTACACCCTGTAGAAATTTTATAAAGTGCTCCAGAATCTTATTATAAAGGTAATATATATTGCATCCAGTGCAATATTGCTCTTGATGGGGTTGTGAGATTTAATTGGCAGTCCAACTTAAAAAGGAAGGAAGTACATACATGGCATCATATATAATAGCATCAGACTAAATGTCCTTTGAGAAAAAAAAAAAAAAAAAAAAACACAACCAGATGTTGTGAAACAGAAAACAATCGCTTAAATATAAAAACTTTTGGAATTTTAAGCAGAAGGCTGTGTAACATATATACATAGAAAAAAAACTTCTTTATACTTTTATTACATATAAATGTTTTTATAGATGGCCACTCAATATTAGACAAAAAATAATCCATTACATCAATAAAAGCCCTTTGCAAACAGTTTAATTAAGCCTGTTACATGTTTGAAAAATAAAATTATTTTATCTCTAAATAGAGAGCCCATGAAAAACAAATGAGTGCATATAAAAATAGCCTCAGTTTGCATCACATCACTTTCTCTTTGTGCTCTAATTTGCTTTCGCTTTTCCTTCAGGAGCGCAAAACCAGTTTCCAAATTTTAACATGATTCTGAATTCACAAATATCCTCTAGCAAAAGGAAACATGACCTCAGGTGTATACTGAGCAATGATTTGTGATGATCTTACATTGGGATCGAGTGTCTCATCATCCAGCGCATTGGCATGTTGTGCTTGGTGATCATTCGATTCAGTTTGTTCCCCCGACTCCTTTGCTTTTGCTTCTTTCTCTGCTGCTTTCTTCTCAGCTTTCATTCGCCTCTTCAGCTCACTGAATGAATAGGAAAAAAATCAATAGATGAACCAAAGCCTTTCTAAAAAGGAGGCCAAGACTCACTTAAAAGGTTTAATAACATACAGCATCAACACTGTGATTCCACACTGCCTAACTATGGTCTGCTGTCAACTACTAAAAAGAAAATAACGATTATATGGGGACTATATCTATTTTGATGACAAAAGGTTGGTTGTTTCTCACACAGAAACGGAAAAGCCACCAACCTTTTGTCACCTCTCCATCGGATAGCATGACACTGAGCTGGTGCTGCAGCTGTACACGGGGATGCATGTTTTAACCACTGTCCTCTGAGAGCAAAGGCTCGACACAGCTGCTGCCTGGCAGCCACGACCAAGCACAGCATGTTGAGCTGCCACAGTCAGCAGACAGACCTGAGAAAACACAGATATACATGCAGAGAGAGTGGAGAATCAACGGCTGCCTTTGCTCAGCGGGACGTGGGTATGGGTTTTAAAAAATAAGTTCAGCAGATCGAAATTTTTACGAAATAATAATAATAATAGTAATAATAATAATAATATGGAAACGTGTACATTTTTTTAATTTTGTTTTATGGCAGATACGTAAAACGAGCTTCACGTATTTAACAGGCACTTTCGGCATTTTTTTTTTCATATTTTTCTTACTATTTAGTTACAATATAAATATACATTTTTCTCATTTTTACAAAAACAGGGTACCCGGCAACACGTTAGAATACGGAAATATATATTTTTTGTAGTTTTACTATTCCCCAAACGTTTCAAAAACAACGACATCCGTTACTCTTGAGGACTACAACTCCCAGAAGGAGCAGCGAGCCTAACTGTGGGATATGTCGCTGTGTAGCGTGCCTCCATATGGGACCTTCGTTTAGCTGTCACAAGACTTCGCATAGCAAGGATTAAGGATTTGTTGTTATCGAAACGGGAACAACATTGCAGAGCAGACCACGGATATGAAGGCGACAGAAGGTTAAAAAGCTCAATAGTTAAGAAATGTGCTCACTTTTTGCTGAGTTTCTCTTCACCCACCGCTGTTACGTCAGCCATGTTCAGGATGCTGCGTGCAGAAAGAAAGAGCTGGTCTGAGACGGCGCCCTACGCGTGCGCAGTATATAGAAGACAGCTTGGTGGTGCCTTTAGGGGATATCGGAAACTAGGCTTTCAGAAGTAAATGTCATTTATCTGGCGGAGGTATTCAACAGGCAGAGGTGTAGCCAGAATTTTTTTTTTATAACCCAGGCAATAACCAATGTATGCTTTAATTTTCTTTTTACCCCATATAAAGCAAAATCTAGTTCTGAAAAGAACATGAATTCTGTTCTTATCATCTTTAATGTTAGTATATTGATGTGCACAATTGACCACAGTGTTTTTGTTGTGAAGTAATTGTTAATTTATGAAAAATAAAATGTTTTAAATATTCCACTTGAGAGTATTACTGTTGCCACCATCTGTATTAGAGGGGGGAAAATGGTAGGGGTGGCCAATTTAATGGCTAAGAGTGGCCCCTGGCCCCCCTTCTAGCTCCGCCCCAGTCAATAGGGGGTCTGTGACCTCTAGGGGGTTGCGGAAGTTTTGGTTGATTAGACTTTTTTTTCGAAGTTAAAAAAGTCTGTAAAGTATGGATCCTCAGAGATGGTGCCTTAATGGAACTGTCATAAACACCATCACTTAGCTCCCAACCGTATAGATCAAGTAAAGCAGAACTATAGGAAGGTTAGGCCTATTGCCTAAAACATATTCATATTATACAGCACCCTAAAAAAATATGGTCAGCTTTATTAAAAACCTTAAATGTAAATATTTTTATGCAGTAGCGCAGTCTTACAGAGAATGTATATTTGAGTGTGTGTGTGTAAAATATCAAAATCACCTGAGCTATACTTACTGGCATTTCATAGATGATTTTCTTTGTGTATGTACTTTCTTTATTTATTTTCGTGATTCTTTTTAACTTAATACAATGTAGTAAAACACAGTACAGCAGAACAGAACATATTTTCATAGATTTTATCAACAAAACATTCTTTATGAGTAGATAATATATCAAACAATCAAACATGTAAAACAGAAAGGACAGGTACAAGCTATCAAACACACCCACACAATAGAAGGAGATTGCTTTGTTCTTGCATCAGACTATGCAACTACAACTTTTGGTTTCTCTTTCTAAATCCAGTAGACTGTGCCCTAAAGCATTATATTAGGAACAATTTGAAATACTTAAACAGTTATAATGAAACTAAAAATTTATTTAGTTCCTTATGACTGATCTGAATTTAGGTCGTTGGTGGTTCCAAAGTTGCAAAATATACTCCAAATGCTAAAATAAAATAGCTGATAATATATCCGATAGTATTTTTTATAAGAAAAAAGATAAAAGCTACATAGGCAATATTATTGAATACTTGTGAGATTTTATGACTTTGTTGAAAACCAGTTAACCTTTTTGGATAACACTGGAAATGATTGTATGAGCAGAAAAAGGATTTAAATTTTGTGAAATTGAAGAATCCAGAAGACCTTAGTAATTAACTCTTTATTAAAGCTACAGAAATAACTGTGAGCCAATTTCCCATTCAAATCAACCTCAACAATGGCTTGAACTAACACTTAAAACACTTAAATGCTTGGCCAGCATAAACATCAGTTGTTGAATGGTTGATAATGAGTTTTATTCCAAAAACAAATGTTGTCGTCTTTTGTTTCATCCTGGAACGGGTCCTGGGGGCAGAAATCTCAGTAGAGTCTCCCAGACTTTCCTTTCCCCAGATACCTCTTCCACCTTTGCTGGAGGAAGCCCAAGGCACTACCAGGCAAGACGAGAGGCACCATCCCTCCAATGTCTCCTGGGCCTCCTCCCGGTTAGATGTGCATGGAACACCTCCTGAAAGAGGCGTCCAGGGGGCATCCTGAGCTACCTCAGCTGACTCCTGTCGATGTGAAGAAGCGGCTCTACTTTGAGACTCACCCGGTGTGGAAAGGAGTGCTCAACCCCATAAAATCATGATCCAGATTTTATGACCTTAGGTGAGGCTAAGAATATAGACAGAACGATATATTGAGAGCTTTGCCTTTTCTCTCAGCTCTCTCTTCACCACAACAGCACCTGTATTGTAGCAGCAACCATCTATCAATCCCCCAGCTCAATTTTCCCCTCACTTGTAAAGAGGACCCCAAGATACTTGAACTTCTTCACTTTAGCAGGAACTCTCCTTCAATCAGAGGGGGACAAGCCATCTGTTTCCAGAGAAGAATCTGATTCTCATCCAAGGTGCTTCACACTCTGCTGCCAACCGCCCCAGTTCTTGCTGTAGGTTTTAAGGAAGTAGTAGCTGTACCACATCATCTGCAACAGGCAGGGGCAATATCCGCTGGTCCCCAAAACAGACTTGGCTGGAAGGGGTCTGGTTTAAGTCTGAAAAACAATGCATTAAAAATCCTGCCTTAAAATGTTTCTGTGTCTTCCTCGGTATAACCACTACAGGATGGACAAACTGGTAGATAAGATAAATCAAAGAAATATAGCAGTCTGGCAGAAAGAGGCCCTCTGTAACTAGTTTCATGTTATTCATAATAATTTCATGATTGAAATGCAGCTTAGTTTTTCTAAAGGTTCTATGTGTCTAAGAGTTTCTGTTTTTTATGGCTGAAATATACTTTCAATTGGTAACATATTTGGGAAAATGTCACTTAAAAAAATAAACAGAATTTTTTAATTTTAAGTGATTTCCCAGTTAGTGTAAACAATAATAAAAGCATGAAAGGACATTGTTTCATGCGCATCTCAGTCCCACAGAAAGCCTTTTGGGGGAGCCAAAGTGAAGAAAGCAGATGCAAGGAGCTAGTGCTCTTTGGATGATCCAGAGATTGTGCAAGCTTATGCTCCAAATGTGGACGTTACACATCAAGCTGTATGTTTCAAAGGAGATCTTAGCAGTGCCATTCTGGGAAGGACATGTGCTCTCAATTTGTGCTTGACCAACTTCCATGCTTTTTATTCATACTGTTCTACTCAAAAATGATAAAGATTGCAGCAATGCATATGTGAAAGTATATTTCCTAAAATATGTACTTTAGGTTAGGCTTGTCCCGCCGATATTGGCAAAAAAATGCGGATCGGCAAAGCATGTAAAATGCCGATCCAGACTGCCGATCCAGTTTTTTTTAAAAAGACCGGTCCGTATTTTTCAGTTTCGCCGATTGAAACGATCCATTCCACTCTTTTGCGCCAGTGTTTCCCTGTTTTGCATTTTTATTAAAACTTACAGTAATACTTGCACCTTTAACTGTTTACGGTTTTACTGTTCACTGTGCAATATTAGATTGCTATTCATAATTTTGTCCAGTTTGTGTTTATCTCTTAATAAACAGGTAAGTTTGTTGTCACCAAGCATTGTGTTTTATTCAATCTCACCTAATTTAGCTGGCTAGATGTTATCAAGAGTACTAAAACCCTTTTCAACATGAGTCTTACAACAAAGGCTAAATACTTTAACTTAAACTTAAATACATGCTCGGATAGGCTGGTATCGGCCAGTATCGGTATCGGATCGGAAGTCCAAAAACAATATCGGTATCGGATCGGAAGTGCAAAAACCTGGATCGGGACATCTCTACTTTAGGTATCACTAGGGGAAACTATATTTACTTTATGAAATTCATAGTTGTCTGATAGAATCAGAAGATAACCAAATGTCCAAGGTCCTTGATGTATTTTTCTTTAAATAACAGATTTTGCAAGTGAACATTGATAACACGGTTCAATGCATTCCATAAACAGACAAAACAAAAAAAGTGCTCGTACAAAATGGACAAATTGGAGCATTTGTAAAAAACAAAACAAAAAAACAACAAAAAATCAAAAAACAAAAAAGTAAAATACCTGTTTAGTTTTTCTGTTTCTTTTTTGGACATTAAAATTGAACACATAATTGTCTAAAACTGTTTCCATTTATAGTTCAAAGAGCAGTTTGGCATAGATTTAGTAACATCCATCCATTTTCCATCACGCTCTATCCCTGCTATTGGTCGCGCGGGATGCTGGTGGCTATCTCAAGCCATCTACAGACAATAGCCGCGTACACCCTGAACAGTTCGCCAGTCTATCGCAGGGCAGATTTAGTAACAACCTTTTCTAAATATTATGCATCTCTAGATATCTATATAGATATATCTCATTGATTTTATTTGTGTTTTAATCTTTGAGTTGTGTGTTTTTAGGAAGAGATAATACAAGATTTATCTTCCCTCTGTTCATTTTTGTTCATGTATGAAAAAAAGATGTGCAATGACATACGAACAAATAACTATATTTATTTATGTAATGTCATTGCACAATTTTTCTTTTATATATGTGGGCTGCACAGTAGGTAGTGCTGCTGCCTTGCAGCAAGAAGGTTCCAGGTTAGGTTCCCGGCCCGGGGTCTTTCAGCTTGGAGTTTGCATGTTCTCCCTGAGTGTGCGTGGGCTCTCTCCAGGTACTCCGGCTTCCTCCCACAGTACAAAAACATGACTGTTAGGTTAACTGGCTTCTCTAAATTCTCCTTAGGTGTGAGTGTGTGTGAATGGTTGTTTGTCCTGTTTGTCTCTGTGTTGCGACCTGTCCAGGGTGTACGCCACCTCTCGCCTATTGACAGCTGGAGATGGGCACCAGCACCCCTCACGACCCCAACAGGGATAAGGGTGACGGAAAATGGATGGATAAATATATCTATATAGATATCTATAGATGTCGCTTATGAGGCACTTTCACATAATAACCATCTTGTCACTCACTGCTATGAATAAAGTAAAGCACCAATAATGTGTAAAGTATATTAGTTTATTTACAGATTGCATTTGGTTTACAAAATTTAACTGCAATAAAATAAGTAACAAAAACAAACTCCAAATATATACATAGACTCTTCCCCCTAATAAGGGATGATTGACAGTTGCTCTGATGGTTAGAAACATAATTTCCACAGCTGTTTAATGGAGAACAGTTTGACCTGGGTTATTTTATTTGCAAAGGGATCTCAGAATAAAATTTCAAATACCATTCTTTATTTTGGTCACTGTTACCTTAATGACTCCAGTAAGCACATATTTGGATTTCTAGTTACTATGAAACACTACATAATAACACAGATGGCGTTAGAGAAATCACTGTTCCAGTAAACTGCAAGACTAACTGACGTCTATTAGTATAAACCACATAAGCAAGATGGTAAAACACTAAGAAAAACAAATTGTGACTTTTCCCTTACTGAAAATAAGCCATAAAGACCCCTTCCCCCGATTTGATCACTGTTGAGAGAAGGAATAAAACTGGGCTTTTATCAAAGGTTGTCTTAAATAAACATAACAGAATATCTTCTTTAGCTTCTCTGCTGTGGTTTTAACATAGAGGGATATACAGGAACAAAAACATGTTCTAAAAAGATCTAAACATGAACTATATCAGCTGCATAGCAGTTTCTTAGAAATTCTTTGTACATTTTTATTAGTTTCAATAAATGCAATGGATTCATCTATGTCTTATTTGATTATAAGCAGGATGCATGTGAGAAATACCCAACGCAGAATAAAAGACAAACTGCTAAAGCTGCAACTATCAAACGCTTAAAGCACACTTTAGGTGGTATGGCTTCAAATTCTAGTTGAGGATTTAGTCAGAAACTCTAAAGGCACAAATACAGTTCTCTCTTCTCAGGCAGTGTGAGCAATATCTGCAGTTTTTTTTTTTAAAAGAATATTGAATAGGAAAATGTAATCTTAGACAAGCTCTGTTGATATTAAAATAACTTTCAATGTAAAAAAAAAAACTTCAAATGCGATAGCTAAAAATATGAGAACTTTCATGAAAAAAAAAAAATCATCTCCTTTTCTATATCTCAGCAAAGATAGTAATAAAACATACGTACGCAGACAAGAGAAGTAATTACCTCTTTAGTACGTTCAGCTAAAACATTCTGGATATAAGAAAGATTTTTCTTTATAAATCAATGATTCACAAAATGAGCAGTACATTCATAATGAATACTGAGTCTGACAGCATGGTGCCATATCGTCCTGCTAAAAACTATTTGGTCGGAAAAAATCTTTTGCATAAGTGTAATATGTACATAGAGGTGGTATATACAGGATTACTATGCACAGAAATTTGTATGTTCATCATTCATAGTATATAAAACATTCCACTCTCCTTAAAAAGGCACCACCAGCAGCAGCACAAGATGGTTCACCCTCATTCTCTTCCAATCTGAGGTTTTCCAAAGTTTAGTAACAGCTGCAAACACAACATGAACACACTCAGGCACTTTGGAGAATTTGGAAATTACAGTCGCCATAATTATCCTCATCAGTGGAAAACAAAGTTAAAAGATTAATTTCTGCTTAATAAAAACAAAAAATTTGAACTGGAGACTAATATAGATCACAAGTAAGTCAGTAAACTCTGGTATAACTGACCCTGTAAAAACATTCTAAGCTCCGATCCAGGTTTGATTAAAATATTACCAAGTGCAGAAACACAACATTCACTTTAGTCACAGTAGAGCAAGGTGGCCTCCTCACGAGTGGCAGACTGGTCCCAGTTTTGGGGTCTCCCAGCAAGAAAAGGAGTTAGCAGGTAAATGGGTGAGGCGGGGGTGGGGGGGCAATAATCACATTCCTCAATAATTAAGAGGGAATACAACCATGACTGCAGGACACAACTCTAAGAACCACCAGTGCACAAATAAGTTAGATATATTTCTCTGCTAAAATGCACCTAATATAGAAATTAAAAAAAGGAAACATACATTTATAATCATCTTTCTACAAACAAAAGCAAAGAAAATCATAAATATTCAACATTTGAAATATAAGTTCAGCTATTTCACAAGTTGAAGCAAGCCAGATAGCTATTCTCTCCCAAGTCACACTTCCTTCAGGAGTAGGGTCCCTTTAAAACACCACAAAAGAAAAAACAAAACAACAATACTTTAACCGTCCTAGCTCCACAAATCACATTAGTCAAGTTTACATGAACTCCGTCCGAACACCAAAGCTGTTTGAGATTTTAAAGCGAATCTTAAATGTAACGGTCCTAATGTATGAGATCCAACATGTACAAAAAAAAAAAAACAACAAACAAAAAAAGCAGCTCAATATAGCTACCATTATAAAAGATTTTTGTTTGTGTATGCACCTAATAAAAAACTATAGACAATCAAGCTGTTTATCTTGATGATCGAACAAAAACCCAAAATAAAACGGTGAAGTGAAGCAACTGGACAAAACGCATTTTGGTATGTCGAGAAGCAAATCTTAAAAGTGAAAATTACCTAAAACAGAAAAGGAAAAACAAAATAAAAATGAGCCATAAAACTGGCGTTTTATTAGGATGTGCACATTGAGTCAAACTTTGGTGTTAAGGTCACTGATCAATATGCACAATTTCAGCATTTTAATGCAATAAGGTGTCAGATGTAGAACTATAGACACCGTATCTCTCCACCTAAACATTTACTTAATTAAACGTATTTACAAAACTAGAGAAAATGGCTCATTTCTAGCTGGTTTACGAATACTACTCCAGTTCTTGTGCACCCACCGAACAGAGACATTGAAAATAAGCAATGATCTAACCATCAAACTGAAATAGTGATGCACTAAGTAAATAATGCTCCATCTGTATATGGGTGAAGATACATATAGAACTAACCAATAAAAATAAACGTTCTAAGAGAAAAAGAATGCACATTTGTTCCTTTTTTTATGTGGTTTAAAAAAATAAACTAGGTATCTGGTAATGAACAGCTACAACATGGCTGCTTATATGACGCATGAGTAAAAAAAAAAAAAAGAAACTAAATAAGTATAAAATTATTTAAACTGCGGAATTAAAACCAAATGAAATTCAAGGTGCTTTTCTTATTTGTTTTTCCACAAAAACCTGGCCTTGCTTTTTAATCTTGGGATAAAGACGGCAAACGTTTTAGTTGTGAATGCCCTTTTTTTTTTAAGTAGGCTGTAATCCATAATAACCACATTTATCATTTTAACAGACTGCAGTGATAGTATATCTGAATCATGTTTTGCAACTTGCTGGAGATAATGTAAAAAAATAAATAAAATGTTTAATATTCAATAACGTGTCACTTAGTTTAGTCATTTTCACTGCAGTGTAAAATGTTGAGCATGAACCTAGAAAAATTAAAGGCTTGCTTAAAAAGTAAAATGGACTACATCGTTCTTGTAAATACATCAGTATATATATCTATATTTATATAGCACTTAAAAAGCTTATTTAACATATAATAAATAAAATCAAAATCTCCTTTTGTGGTATTTCAGAGATTTAGACTGAATTTATTGCCATCAACAGACTTAAGGCAACGGCTTTAAACTGCAAACATTAAGCTAGTTACATTAAACCTCTATTGTTGCTTTCTACAGTTCTTCTTCAACTTCATATTTATTTGCTTTCTTTTTCCATCTCGGACCTTTTATGATGATCTGCACCATTTACATCAGTAGCTACCTTCCAGTTTGACCAAACATACCCCGCAACGTCTTTCCCTATCTGCTGTACAAAACATTCCATCTTTAATGCAATATAATGAAATAAAGTAGAAAAAAATCTAAGGAGAATAAATTACAAAAACTGCCAACTCTTTGGGAAATATTATACAAAACACAAAAAAAAAAAAAAAAAAAAAAAGGCTATGCTATAAATAGCATCACATTGCAGCTATTTACAGTAAAAAAAAGAAAAAGTTCAGGTGAAAGAACGTTTGAATTCTACTTGTCTGATCAGACTCATCAGGTGTTAGTCACTATTTTCACGCGTTTTAGTAAAAGGAAGTCTCAGAAAAGATGCTTTCTTGGTCGTAGTCAGCCCATGCCTAAATCTAGGTTTAAGCATATAAAGAAATGATCCAGTTTGATTTAAAAGTCCCTCTTATTTAGACTAGTCGTTAATATTTCTGACTGAAGAGACTGGTTGAATAAAGGTCGGCACTTGTGTGAATCTAGCCTCGGCGCTGCAGGAGCAGAACCAGATGTAATAATCCCTAACATTTGGATCTTTCTGCATATTTAACAGGTTTTTTCCCCCCAGATTTGCAGATTTTCTTTGAAAAAAAGAAAAAAAAGGAGAAAAAAAATCTACCAACATTAATAACACTTAGAATGAGCGCTGGAGAGGGCCGCCTGGTTCATGCAGGCTTACAAGCAGATCATTGATCTTTTCCATGTTCTGAGAGACCTCCATGCTGCCCTGGACAGCGGTCCCAGACTGGGATATAGACTGGCTGAGCAGGGACTGGATGCGGGCCTCGCTTTCTTGCTGGTTCTGACCAGACTGGCTGATTGCTATGATCTGATCTGAAACCGTGTTTCCGGGATTGTTCATCAGCTGGCCACATTCTGCAAGAAGGGGAAAGAAAAAAAAAAAACTGACATGAAAAATGCCCTAGAAAAAAATGACCTAATATTTCTTCTTTCACAAGAAAAAAAAAATATGTTTAAAAGAATATAAAGTTGTATAACCATTGAGAAAATAAAATATCTTTACACTATCCATCTTCTAATTAGCTTTCCTCTCTCTGCTGAAGAAAAGCATCTCCAAAAACCACCTCTATGTACATATTACACTTGTGGCAAAATCTAAACAAGACTTATTATAGTTTTTATATTCATGCTTTGAAAGGTTAAACATAACACACAACTGTGGCCAGATACTTTCCCTCCAAGTAAAGCTTCCTGAGGCTTATTGTTCTTTTACCTCATTAGTTTCAACAGACGTTATTACCACCCTCACCGTTTTGCATTCCGAAGATGAAGAGGCCAGGCTGTTGAGGCTGGCTGGGCTGACTGATGCTCCCATTCACGGTGTGTTGAAACAGACTGCCTGGCTGCTGGCCAGGAGAGGAGGTGGTGGTCGGAAGGTTTGCCACACCATTCTGGGAGGCAAACATGGATGACTGCGAGAGCTCTTGCACAGCCATCCCCCCCTGTATGGGAGGCATGTTGGATGGAGGGATGAAGAGACCCACTGGCTGCTCCTGTTGGTTGTTGGGGCTGTTGCCTATCTGCATTGGCTGCTGCTCCTGAAACATGACTTGCTGTGGTGAAGTGGTGGGATTCCCTAAAGCCATGGGCTCAGGCTGGCTCTGCTGATTTACAGTCACCATACTGGCCTGGGAAAACAGCAAAGAGGGGGTTTGGGAGTCCTGTGGAACCAGACTGCTGGTAGTAAGGGGAGGCATTTGGCCTTGACTGGTAAAGATGAGGTTGGAGGATTGGGGTTGTGGGGACAGGTTGTTGTTGCAGAACATTAAGCCAGGCTGCTGTTGCTGCAGCTGCCCAGGAGAAAGCGTGTTTGGAGATGAATGAGGAGAAATGTTCTGAAACATGGCAGGCTGTGGGGAAGGCTGTGGAAGTGGCGGAGGCTGAGGTGACTGCTGCTGCTCCATGGGGCTTCTCTGCTGCATGGGGGGCATTTGGGCCTGGTTCTGAAATACTGGTTGCTGTTCAGGGGATGAGGATTGTAGAGCATTGAGGAAGGCCAGCTGCTGCTCCTGCTGCTGCTGCTGTTGTTGTGAACTTCCAGTTGTAAGCCCGGTGGGCAGCGGTGTTTGGGGAAGGAAAAGTGTGGGAGATTGTTGTTGCTCTTGAGACTGCAGTACTGTCATGGTGTTCTGGAAAAGAGCAGCCTGGACTTGCTCCTGGGACGGTTTCTGAAAAATAGATCCCTGTGTATCTTGTGTTTCAGCCAAAGGACTGGGATTGTGGAACATGGTTGGTGAGGCATGGGTGGTAGTCTGCTGGAGGAAGCCGGTTTGCATAGAACAGATGTCATTTGCCTGCTGAAACAGGGCAGCCTGTTGCTGCTGCTGATTTTGCTGCTGTTGCTCTGGTGGGTAAAGTGATGCCTGGTTTGTCACCACTCCCTGTGGGGAACCTTGCAGGTCTGAGCTCTTGGCCTGCGCAGCATCCTGAAACATGCCACACTGCATCTGCATCTGAGACTGGAAGAGTTGTAAATTCTCCAAAACCTGCTGCTGCTGCTGTTGTTGCTGCTGCTGCTGAATCTGTTGGTTTTGCATCTGCTGTTGGTGTTGGATGTGTTGTTGCTGCTGCTGCTGCTGAATTTGCTGCTGTTGAATTTGCTGTTGTTGAATTTGCTGCTGTTGAATTTGCTGGTTTTGAATCTGTTGCTGGATTTGTTGCTGTTGCTGGATTTGTTGCTGTTGCTGGATTTGTTGCTGTTGCTGGATTTGTTGCTGTTGCTGTTCGGCGATAGGGTTTTCTGCCTGGATGGGTAAGTTACAATATCCTTTCGCTTTAAGTTGTCTCACGGCCTCCTCCAGCTGTGCAACCTCATCTGGGGGAAAGAGCGGCAGCTGTGGCTGCTGGGGGGCAGGTTCAACACAGAGCCTGGATACTCCTGCAGAAGTGCTGCCTGACCTCTCCCGCATGAGACCGTCTCTGGGCTCCAAGAGGAACTGCTGGGTGCCTTGTGAGAGCAAAGACTCTGCAGGCAAAGGGAATGAGTTGCTAGTGGCAATATCCTGTTTCTGGATGGTGCTTAAAGGTTCAACATTGGTAAAAGCAGCAGCCTTGGTTTTATCTTGATCACCTGCAGATTGAGGCAGGTTATTGTTGAAGACTATGTTGTTATTTAGACGTGATGTTTCTACATCTTGATTGGGTGGGGATGCACTAAGATCTCCATTCTGCTGCAGGAGAAAAAAAAAAAAAAACAACAACAACCAAAACCTTAATTTGGGATTTTAATTTATGCGTCTTAAACTCAGCATCTAAGTTATCAAACAGCATCTACAAACATAACCAGATTCATGCAGTAAAGTATAAAGCTAACCAAACCATTTTTAACAGAGAACATGTTAAATTCATGTAAAAAAAAAAAAAAAAAAGCAGCATAAAGCTCAGTAATTCACCTTAAATACTCCAGAGGCCTGTAGGTTGTTTGTCACTTCCATCGGGGTGATATCTTCTCTCTTTACTAAAGACAGCAACGAAGGCATTAAGGCACTATCTACAGCTGTAGGAGTAACAGGATGGGGATCAAGTTTTACATTTAAAACTTATTTATAACCAAGATAAAAGATATAAATACTGAACTAATTAGTATTTTTTTTAAATGATCCCTGACCAACATAAAGCAATGATGGGAAGTATAGAATCACCAACCTTTGATTTGCTCATCATAAGAACAGGTCTTAACTGGAGAGGGCATCTCCTTCTTTACAGGAATTTCATTTTGTACTGCAAGATTGTCTGAAAAAAGGAGAATATAGAATGACTATAGCTTAAAACACTACAATTCACAGATTGTTTGAGATATTTATATGTTTAACCCAAAAAAGCTTAAAACTAACAGCAGCAGATGAATATCAGTACTATGTGGAGAATTCCCTGTCAGAAAGGGGAGGAGCACTGTGTCTATTAAAATTATTACAAACACTAGCCTGTAGGTGGCGGTGTTGACTGATTTTGGTTTTATTAATCAGAGATGGGAAAACATGCCAATAGAGTCACTAAACAAAACATATATTTATAGTACAAAGCAGATAAAGTTATCAGTAGCAATCATTTAATATAGTCGAAAAATTTGATGAAAAATAAGATACCTTACCCAGATTAAAAAAACAGCAAAACTCCTGTGGAGTTTAAAGCTTAATAATATTGCACAAAAAAACATTATTACTATAAAATGACAGGTATATTTGGGTAAGAATGAGTTTTAAAGTTTAATGGCCACAGGTCTTAGGCATTACCCCTTTTATTAAGGATCCCTCTCTGAACATAAGCATGGCTTCTTTTTTTTTAAGCATGTCAATTTAAATTTCTGGGGGGTAAATTAACTACAAGAAAAATGAGAGTTAATGGCCACTTCAGTCTGGTGTCTAGGTAAACCTTTTTCTGACAGAAATGCACTCAAACAAACCAGGATCTGGAGTGTAGGTGAATGGCTGAACATCATGGGACCTGCCAGCGTTTGTCACCACATAGATTCCAACACAGACAGGAGAGGTGATGGCCTGGTTGTGGTACGGGGGTACCTTCACGATCAGGTGATTCTTGGGGTTAAAGAAAGAAAGGTAAAAATGAAAATGAGTCAACTTTGTCACAGAAATAACATCTATGCAAACCTGGACAAATCAATGTACGGTAAAAAGAGATTGAGGCCAGATCAGTCAGTGCATGAGAAAAATTTTACTTGCTTAATTCTGTGTCTGCAGTCTTTTTTACAAATGCTCTAAACTTTGTTTGCTGACTCTGTATTCTGTCTTATTGGCACTTCAAAGTCACAGCTCTGGTGTTGAAATTTTGCTATAAAACTACAAAAACACATTTTTGTTCAAATAAAAAACAAGGAAAAAAACATAAAACAAAACATATGCATATTGATGCAATAAAGGCTGAGTGCTATAAATTAGTCAGCTAATGTATTCCTGTTGATTTTTTTTTTTTTTCACGAGGGCAAAGGTTTAATGCTGGTTGTTAAGACACTCAGCAGAACGTCTAAGACTGAAAGTAATTAGGTCAGAACACAATGAAACTACTCACACCTTTGAACCACAAGCCCTTTAAGATGATTATATCTAAAAGCCCCGTACAGCACTGAGTTGAAGATTATCTATTCAGTCATTTAACTTGTAATAACCTTTCATTTAGAAATACGACAACACATAGGAAAAACTTTTCACCTGGTGAAACAGCTCCATGTCAATTTCAGCTTCTGACTTCCACGACTTCTCATCTGGAACAGAGAAAGGATGTTTTTAAAGCCTGAATTAAATCTGATAAACCTAAACAGGTCTGAAAGGAAGAGTTTATATTTTATTTTCTCACCTGTTACATTTTCTTGAAATATGATTTTAGTGTCTTTCAAAAAGTTTTTGCCAATGATAAAAACTTCTTCTCCGCCCCTCACCGAACCAGTGTGCAGGGACTTCTTCAATATCTCTGGCAGCCCTGCAGGCTGAGCTGGAAACAGAAGGATACAGACAACACTGATGAGCTGCATTGATTTTAGTTTTTTTTAATGCTCTCTCACCTCTAACACAGTGAGGAGAAAACTGTGGGGGAGGAATTGCCAATCAATTTTACTTTTAAACCAGTTCTAAGCTCTTGAAAAAGGGGGGGATTTGTGTCACTTCTGATTGATATTATTTAGATTTTATTTTTGTGAAACAGAAATAGGCAAGATCTGATTCCATGCTAGTTTTAAAACTCTTAAACCATGAATTGAATGATTGCCTCAAAACATACGGTGGATTCAAAGCAATATTAGTGTCAGCGAGAACTTTGATTGCTTTAGTTTGTGCTGTTATTCATTTAATCAATCTGTGTATAAAGCACAAAGTAATAAAAGGATCTTCAAAAAGGTGAACGATTTTGGGGTCAGTAGCCTTCTGTATCTATAGGTTTCACTATTTACACTGCACAAAAATGAAGGGACACTTTTAATCCCAGGATAAAAAGCAAGTCATTTACTATTCAGGAACTGGAAGGAATTATAAATCAAATCTGCTCCGCCATCATAATGCAACCAAATGTTTGATACGACTTGGATGGCAGGAAAAAACACATCAAAAAAGGAAAAAAGCTTGATCTAAACTTTTATGCTTTTAATTAACATGCAAATTATTTTACAACTTGCAATGTATTTGTATTTATTTTAAATATTATTGACCAGAATAAAGAAATGTATTACTTAAAGTGATCATTTGTTCCAAGAGGACCCCTCTCCAACACTTCCCACTCCTGTGCTCAGTCGACATGTGCGCATACACATGTACAAAGACATACAATCAAAAACCGGGGGAATTACTATTTTTTTCTTGTTTTGAGGAAAGACATTTCCCTGGTTTGCATGCAAGCTCTACCATAAACAAAAGACTTCCACACCTCTATTGCTTAGTTCTGTACCTCTTTTTCTTCTCTGCTACCCTCAAAGCAGTTGTCTCAAACCCACACATGGCTCTAGGCGTCTTTCCTGTTTGTGAAAACCGACCACGCCCTCATGTTGGAGACATTATCATAGCATTCAATCTAGTGGGATAGTTGTACAGTGTCCCCAAACGATAACATTAGAGAGAAAAGTCTGTTGACCTCTGGTTTTATGAAATTTGACAAACAGGGGGAAAAAATATGGTAATTATTAACTAAGTGGGGTTTAGGTCAATCTATCCTTTTTCTCTAGTTAAATTCCTGTAAGGCTCAACTGATTGGTTTAGTAATGCAGCAATTACTCAATAACCCAATAATTTACACATTTTCCAATAATATTGTATTTGATTGAGCTTATAACTCAGTGTTTAGACGTGGACAAAGATGAAGGCCATCTTACTGCAAAGGATTGGAGAGGAGGGAGTCTGCAGAGTGAGCACTGATCCATCTGAGCGGGGTACGTTGACCCGAAACACCAAGCGAGCACGTGTGCTTTTCTTCTTTGACCCGGCGACGCCGATACGAGCTTCGACATCTGCATTACGGAGCTTTAAAATCCCAACACAGTCCACTCTAAACACAAGGAATAAATGACTTTAGGCTCGCTTGAACTTGTTTTAACTTACAATGTCAACAGTATTTAGAGAATCTATTTAACGATCAGACTTTGTAGGACTTAATATAACATAATTGAAGTACTTTTTCATCTGATAGCTCACATATACCAATAATGGAATAAATGTATTACATAACATAACAGAGGTAGAGTAAAAACAGAAAATGAACTTTCTACTCTAAATACTCTAAAATACAATATTAACAACAACAGCAACACTTAAAACAAATAAATTGCTAAATAACAGCTACATACGCCAGTGTCATGTTTGTGCTTGGGTCAAGGGACACTTCAATCACAGTTGTGCCATCAATATCAACCTCCTTGCATGCAGTGGTGTTGCGACCGGTAACTCTGCAGGCTTGGTAAAATCCATGCGGCTTCACGCGCCCAGCATCGTTTCCAACAAACACCTGGAGAACCACTGGTTCAGTCACACCCTCCAGCTGTAAACAATAAAAGTGGTATTTCATTAAAACATTTTATTGTTTTTTTTAAGACACCAAAATATCATCTGCAATCTTCAGTCCTGCAGTCAAGTTGGAAAACAGGACCTGTGACACTGATCATGACTCGTGCCACAAACTCAGAATGGTATTTAGGTCTTAGCATTGACTTGAGCCTTTTTAATGCACAGATATGCTTTGATGTTAATTATTGTAGCTCTGGTTTAATGGCTAAGCCAGTTGTTCTATGAAAAGGTCAACCTTCTCCTTAGGGCTCAGGTCTTATTTTTATCTTTTTTCTTCCCTGTATTTAGCTCAACCATCTTCATATCAATTTTGCCCCACATGCTTGTTTCCTGCTGAAGAAAGTCAAACCCACAGCATGCTGTTGCCATCACCATGTCTTAGTGGGGAGATGCTATTTCCAGGGTAACGAAGAAAATTTTTATTCTAGGCTGAAAAGTTAATTTTGTATCCTTTACAGCATTTTTGTCATTTTACCCTAGATGGCTCATAAAAAAAGACAATGATGGAACTTCAGTTTATTTAAACAATTACGTTTTCACACCTTAGAACTTGATCCTCTTTTTCATGCGAACAAAGTTTCGATTGCAGTTATTAAGCTTGTCGATCTACAATGCGTAGGTATTGCTTATAAGAATGAGTTTGAGTTCCGCTTTTCAGATTAAAGATGTCTCTTGGAGAAAGAGAAAGCTTTTTAACAAAAATGCACCCTTCCAGAACACTTCCGTAACTTTTCTTGACTAGAAAACCAAGCATCCTTTCCTTCCAGTTGAAAACTATTGACTTTGTTGCTTTATCTTTAACGTCGCCATAAACACTTTAAACTTTACAGTTTTATTAAAATGACAAAACAGAGGACAGATCAAGGGTACATAAACCATTTTGCAAGGCAAAGTAAGAGACCTTAAAGTCACCTGGCCTTGTAAAAAAGCTAAATATATCAGCCTATTAAAATCCTTATTCTGTCTCTTATCTGCTGCCTATAAATGTCTAGTTTAAAATGGACATAATGCTTTACAGAACAATAAAACCAGAAAAGAAACCACCAGAGGGATTCAGCTTCCACGTCTGCTGAGGAGATGGCAGGATCACTAAGCTGAATAAAATAACTGAAAAAAGTCTAAATTTCCTACTTCAACCTATTTTAAGTCTACTCCTGGATATTCGCATGAAAATTGACTCCCATTTTGTTTTTATTATTTTGACCTGGAGTTTTACACCTGGACTTGGTAGATGTTTTTGAAGTTTCACTAGGCAGAGTGCCTTATCAGATATAGTCATTTTAGATTAAATGGGAGAATGTTCTGCCTCCATCACTGTCCCTAATCTAGCATTTTGCAGACTCCCCTTACACTACACCCACTAACTTGATGTGATTAGCTGATATCTACAACAGTTCTGTTTTTCACTTGTGCTGACCCTGACTAGCCACAGCGGTTTACTCTTTCCTTTTAATCCCTTAATGCTAAGGATATGAAGAAAAATGCACAACCCAGGTTATGCTGAAATTAATTTCTGTAATAAGGCCCATTTTCTTAAATAATTTTTTCACAGAAAACAAAGATCTAGAAGCTGATAAGTAAATAGGCTTGTTGCTGCAAAATAATCCACCCTCGAATATCATTACAAAAATGATGAATTTGTTACCTTTATAGTGGGGAAGCCTTGCTGGGTGCGGTCCTTTACTGAGCCTCTGCTGCCTTCGGTTAGGTAGCGGGCCCGGTGCTGAGTCTCAGGCTGGACAAGGATTTTAATCTCCTTCCCCTCACACTTGGATGGGAACTGCATTGTCAAGGTTGATCCCTTTTGATTAGTCGTCTGAGGATCATCAGAGCTGCAACATAACATTTTGTTAGAACAGTCAACCTCTTGCTCTAAAGTTCACTTTCTTCTGTCTAAGGTATAATATCCCAGGCAGTTCAAGTACCTTTTTTAAACAAAATAAAAAATGAATTTGTCTCTTCTTTAAAATCAAACATCCATGTATGTATGTAGACATACATACATATCTGTCAGGAGTAGTAGTCTCCTTCCTACATAGAAACGCTTTCAAGTTGCCATGGCGCTCTGAGCAATGCAGATTTAAGAGGCCCTCCATCAGCCAAGCATATTCTAACCTTGGCTCTTAAAATGTTCGGTTATCTGTTTATTTAATCTGCTCTGCTTATCCTAGGTCTTTTAGAGAGGCTTTGTGATTCACTGTGGAAGACCATTGTTTCTACTTTAGTATCCTGCCCCTCCCTCCTCACTGATCTGACTGCTATCCTTAAGTCAGTGTTGTAGAAATGTGGAGCCAAATAAGTTTATTGAAGCTTTCCATCCATTGCTCAGTGTCAGTATATAATTTCCTGGTAGCACCTGCAGTCACAGCTCTTATAAGTGTTGGATAAGAAACACTAGAGCGGCAGATAAAAGATGATGTATGAATTAACAGGAATCATTATTCGAAGAAAGGCCAGACAAAAATATACATGTTACGTTCAGAAAGTTGAATCTATTGTACCAAAATTATAGATGACAGACCAGCACTAGGGCTGCAACAACGAATCGATAAAATCGATAAAAAATCGACTTTTAAAAGCGTTGGCAACGAATTTAATCATCGATTAGTTGTGTCGCGCGATTAATGCGTCATCCGCCGCCGCCGTCATCCGGGGGAAGAAAAAAAAATATGGCGGAGCGAGTCAGCGCCGCAGTTGCAGTGTTGCCAACTCAGCGACTTTTCAGACCCCTCCAGCGACTATTTTTCAAAAAAGCGACTAGCGACAAATCTGGCGACTTTTTACGGTGTCACTGGCGGCTTTTGCCTGCTGTGGGGCGCCTCCCCCATCCCAACGCCTTTCTCCCTCTCCCACAGGAATCCCTCTCAGCGCGGCAGTCAGAGCCGCAGGATTTTAGTGAGGAGTTTACCCTCAGCGTCCAGACTGCAAATGAAGGGCGCATGCGCCGGGATTGACGGCGCAAATTGATCACAATAATTAAAATAGCCTGCGCTTTGTAAAGTGAAAAAAGTCGTAACATGCAACTTTTGTAAAAACAAATGAACATGGCATGGAAGCACCACTGTTATGACGCAGCACCTGAAAAGAAAACACGTTGGAGCCTTCAATGGCAGTGAAGAGAGCTGATCAGCAGGATGAGTAACCATGTTTGTTTGGTTTTAAAGAGGGGAAACGTAACGTTAGTTCCTCAGGTAGCTCATCTGATGCTTTCCTTACCTTGTTAGTAGGTTACAGACAGTGATAAGGTTGGCTACTTATTTTACTTTTAATTTCATTTAAATTTGTTTAAGCAGCGTTTATACTTTCTTTATAAATAAATTAACTTGCAAATTATGAGGGCAAGGCTTTTAAAGTTTAAATCTTCTGGCAAAGATAAAGAAAAGAAGATCCTGCAATTTATGGAAGTAAAGCAGAATAAAATCCAGCAAGATCAGTAATATGTCAATTAATTATCTGCCACATTCCCATGTAAATATCTGTCTTTGGAGGATGTGTTTTTTACCACCCCTAGTTCTCTCATTTTTATTCCAAATACAATTTATAATTTGAATCACAGGGCTATTTTTATCTCTATGGTTCAGTATTTTCTCAAGCAGCAACTTTAACTGCTATACTTTCCTGTCTTAAAAGGCAGAACTCTTCTAGTCTAAAAAAACTAATTTGTTGAAATGGGGGGACCTATTGTTTGAACCCCTTAGGGGCTTTAAAAAACAAAAATGCCTGTCTTTTTTTGCGCTTTATGAAACAAAGTAGCCTATATTTTGTGGATGTACAGCTACATTTCTCATGTAAGTTTGCGTAGTTTTTACACAAACATTTATTTTTCATATTGCACCAGTACAGTTAATGAGCAACCTGTACTTGTGTGCTTGTTTGTTCTGTCTAAAATGTTTATTTTGGAATAAAGAGGTTAATATAAAAAAAAATTTTTTGTCCGATTCATCGATTAATCGAAAAAATAATCGGCCGATTCATCGATTTTTAAAATAATCGTTAGTTGCAGCCCTAACCAGCACAGATAAGACTTTTAGGGAATCCTTTTTTTAATATATGAAAATTAAAACTGAAGACATCCATTTCTACTTATCATAGTAGACACAGCTGCAAATAACACAGAACTTTGGTCCAGTCTTTGTTGCATCCTTTGCCTCAAAGTCTTGATTTCTTACAATGACCTATAGGATCCGACCTTATGTTTGGTTATATGTTTGGCTCATGGCCCAACTGGAAGCCAATCCTCGAGCTCAATTTTAAAATCAACTGACTTCATTTGAATACTGTATTACTCAAGACAATTCTGCTATCAACTATGACCAGATTTTCTGTCCACGCCTGCGAGAGATTGTAGTTCAGGATGGAATTTTTAATCACATTTCCACCCAAAAAATCTCTTCTGACCAGAGCCTCCTCTTTCACTTTTTATTGTCCTCTACATAGTTCCTGGCTTGTAGTACTTCTTATTTTGGCTTCCTTTCAGTCTTAAATGCAATAAATTCTGGATATCACAAACAGTAAATTGAAAGTCCTCCTACTAAGCTGGGATGGTTGTTTAGTGCTGTTTTGCAACAGATCTGTGAGGCCTTCACAGGAATGCTATATCTACATCTAGAGGTGGACTTCAGATGCGAATTGTACTGATATTACTCCATGCTTTCGGAGCAAAGGATGCTCACTACATGTGCATGCCTAATTTATAATTATTATTTGTCAAATCGTTTGTATCATTTTTCTAATTTACATTAACTAATTTGTGTCTTATAGCTAAAACAAGAAATGTTTGCAGATCTAACATAAGAAAACTTAAAAGAAATTATATGCATCCCTTTAGAAGGAACCAAGTGATAGAGTCCTGACATGTCATGAGAAAACCCACTTGTTGTGGTTTTTCTCATTACAACTCTTCAGATCAATGCCTGCGTTAATGAACTACTAACCTTCCTTTAGCTGACGTCTTGCTCTCTGGGCCGAGCTGAGACAGGACAAAGTGTGGGGCTTTGGCGCTGTCTGCATTGAAGACATCCATGCTGGCTTCTACTGCGCGCAGAGCCTTAGGTCCCGGCTTCTGTCGAGGCGTACGCTTGCGGGCCTTTCGTGGCACCTCGGTGTTGTCGTTGTAAGAAGAAGTGCTCATGACGCTGAAGTTTGACATGGAGTCCTCCATCCAGATGCTGTTACTCTGCTCAGAGTCCAAGGGTGCTGCGTCACCCTGGCAGGACATGTGGCTATCATCAAACAGGTCTTGTGGAGGAGGGGAGATGTTGAGGATGTTGCGCTTGGACGGTGTCAGTAGATGGTGTGCCTGGCCATCCTGTGAAGCTGCACCTCGTCCTCCGGACAGCTCCCCGTTGCTGCTTTTCCCACTACCACACTCGGCTCCAATGATCTCCGGTACCACTCGGCTGCTCCTGCTGTCCTCAGAATCGACATTTCTGCTGTGAGCCGAGTTCGGGTCACTGGTTGAAGTGCTGGAATGCATGGTGGTGCTGGAGATGGTGGAAAAAGCACTGCGAGGGCCTTTCGTGGTCAGAGAAGAGGACAAGGCATCTATGGTGTAAATAATTAGACAGTTAGTACAGACTGAACTATTGTGAGGTTCCAGTTCCATGTAAACAGTAAAAGTCGATGCTTTTTTAAATGTTTTTTTTTTTTTCTAAATGTAACGCTCCCCATTTTTTGTATGGTGTTGATAATGTAATATGTGTGAATTTTGTTGAAAACACTGTATGATGCTTAAATATTAGAGGATAAAATGTATGTTTAATTAATTTTAGCATTTTGTTCTGACTCAAAAATATGTGGCATGTTACTTAATGGAGCTTTTTTTTCCTTTTTTTTCTTCTTTTGTTTTTGGCAAGCATTTTTTTTTGTTTTTTTTTTGTTTGTAGAAGCCACAGAGACAAAACAAAACAAGCTTCTGACCTACGAAGCAGAGAACTGCAGACCATTTTAAATGCAGACACTCCCTGCTTCAGAGGGAACTTCCTGGAATATAAAGGTGAGACAGCAAATGAGCAATAAAAGCTGAACAACAAAGATTGATTCAAACATAACGAAAGAATATATATATATATATATATATCACAGTATGATGCAAAAGTATTCCCCTCCCCCAATTGGGAATCCAAAATTCAAACATTTCTCTGAACATGCTGACAAAGGCTTCATTTTTAGATAATGAGTGGAGCACAGAAGGGTTAAGCAGCTGCTGAAAATCTTCTGGTGTTTCATAAGTTTGTAGAACACAGAAAGGGGGGAAAAAATAAACAAAGAGGTAAAGTCAGTCTGAGAAAGGGTGAAAGCTAGTAACAATGAATAATTCAAACTCAGAAACGTAAAACATTAAGAACTCTGTTCATGAGACCAACACATTGAACAATGCAAAACTTATAATTGCAAAAAAGATCTTTATATCCGTTTCATCTTCATGCATTACAAGCAGAAAGAGGCAAAGTAAAGGAGATATTCATAAGATAATTGCAAATACTCAATTTTGATGACAAAAAAACAAAAACATTCGCAGTTTAAAAAAGGGCCTTAAAATTCAGTGAATGCATTTATCTTAATTTATTATTATTTTTTTTTTTACAATTTTCAGATAACATTGAACTGTCAGGGGACACTGCAATATACCAAATGCCAAAAAGAAAACTGACACTACATTGCATGCTTTTCCGATTCCACTTAATTTCGCTTCGTGCTTTTAAACTGAATGGTCGTACTTCTATTTGATCCTCACATATCCATCAACCTGAGAATGCACAAAAACAAAGTCTCTTTCCCTTCTCCACCCACCAAAACTGCAAACATGATTATTATTATTTAATTTAAGCGAAGTCTTTTGTTGTCATGCCAAGCAGTGGAAAAGCTAATTAACCCCAGGGCCTTGTTTCTGGACTTCTATATTTACCCACTAATAAGATTTTCTTCTCTAAGACAACAGTTCCACCTTCAGCAAAGCTAATTCAGCAAAAACATCTTTCTGAGCTTCCCACTTTCTTTTTTTTAAGTCCATAATGTTTAACCACACCCTAATATAGTCTATGATTCAGTGATACTAATGAGAATAATTAGGTCTGAACATGGCGCACATTAGATCTGTTTGTGCTGCAGGATACAACGACAAACTAAAATGACATCCCAACAGGCAGGTACAGACAAGCAGGCATGTTCAGTGACATTAACTTCCTTCTCCAGCCCTGTTTTTTTTATCCCTTCACATGTAGAAAATCAAAAAGAAGCAGGCTGCTTGTTTGACAGGCTTTCGTCATACATGCAGGTGTTTGCTTACAGGTATAGACTGCTAAATGAGTAATGCCCTTTCTGGGTGGGGCAAGATCAATCCTGCTTGGAGATGAGATATAAGGAAAGAGAAAGCAGGATCCTACCTGATGCTAGAGGAGCTGAAGGGAGAGAGCCTGCCTCTCCGCCGCTCTTTTGACTCATGACTTCTGGGTGCTGCTGAGTGGTGGGAGGCAACTGCAGCTCACTGGCAAGAAGGTCATACACTGACTCTGTTGTGAGAGTAAGGGGACCAATAAAAGGAATAAAAATATGACTTACTAACAGGACTTATTAGTGGAATGGTGAGTGAAGAGTCAAGATCCCATTGGGTGAGCCAGATGACTAACAGGAAACATCAAGACCACATGAGGGTTTAGAGTAAATCTCAAATGTATCTGTCAGATTTCTGTTTATATATATATATATATATATATATATATATATATATATATATATATATATATATATATATATATATATATATATATATATATATATATATAAATAAATGTTTAGCCTATTATGAATAATCTGATAATGACACAACCGTAACCGTTTATCCTCACAAATATTCAATTGTAAGAACACACCCATGACCTGGTTGGCAATACAGGTGCTGGTCATAAAATTAGAATATCATGAAAAAGTAGATTGATTTCAGTAATTCCATTTAAAAAGTGAAACTTGTATATTATATTCATACATTACATACAAACTCATATATTTCAGATGTTTATTTTGTTTAATTTTGATGATTACAAATGACAACAAATGAAAATCTCAAATTCATCATATCAGAAAATTAGAATATTACTGAAGACCAATAAAAACAAAGGATTTATAGAAATGTTGGCCAACTGAAAAGTATGAACATGAAAAGTATGAGCATGTACAGCACTCAGTATTTAGTTGGGCCTCCTTTGGCCTGTATTACTGCAGCAATGCGGCGTGGCATGGAGTCGATCAGTCTGTGGCACTGCTCAGGTGTTATGATAGCCCAGGTTGCTCTAATAGTGGCTTTTAGCTCTTCTGAATTGTTGGGTCTGGTGTATTGCATCTTCTTCTTCACAATACCCCATAGATTTTCTATGGGGTTAAGGTCAGGAGAGTTTGCTGGCCAATTAAGAACAGGGATACCATGGTCCTTCAACCAGGTACTGGTAGCTTTGGCACTGTGTGCAGGTGCCAAGTCCTGTTGGAAAATGAAATCTGCATCTCCAAAAAGTTGGTCAGCTGCAGGAAGCATGAAGTGCTCTAAAACTTCCTGGTATGTGGCTGCGTTGACCCTGGACCTCAGAAAACACAATGGACCAACACCAGCAGATGACATGGCACCCCAAACCATCACTGACTGTGGAAACTTTACACTGGACTTCAAGCAACGTGGATGAAGTGCCTCTCTTCTTTTCCTCCAGACTCTGGGACCTTGATTTCCAAAGGAAATGCAAAATTTACTTTCATCAGAGAACATGACTTTGGACCACTCACCAGCAGTCCAGTCCTGTTTCTCTTTAGCCCAGGCAAGACGCTTCTGACGCTGTCTGTGGTTCAAGAGTGGCTTGACACAAGGAATGCGACAGCAGAAACCCATGTCTTTCATACGTCTGTGTGTGGTGGTTCTTGAAGCACTCACTCCAGCTGCAGTCCACTCTTTGTGAATCTCCCCCACATTTTTGAATGGGTTTTGTTTCACAATCCTCTCCAGGGTGCGGTTATCTCTCTTGCTTGTACACTTTTTTCGACCACATCTTTTCCTTCCCTTCGCCTCTCTATTAATGTGCTTGGACACTGAGCTCTGTGAACAGCCAGCCTCTTTAGCGATGACCTTTTGTGTCTTGCCCTCCTTGTGCAAGGTGTCGATGGTCGTCTTTTGGACAACTGTCAAGTCAGCAGTCTTCCCCATGATTGTGTAGCCTATAGAACTAGACTGAAAGACCATTTAAAGGCTTTTGCAGGTGGTTTGAGTTAATTAGCTGATTAGAGTGTGGTACCAGGGGCCATCAATTTTGAACCTTTTCACAATATTCTAATTTTCTGATATGATGAATTTGAGATTTTCATTTGTTGTCATTTGTAATCATCAAAATTAAACAAAATAAACATCTGAAATATATGAGTTTGTATGTAATGTATGAATATAATATACAAGTTTCACTTTTTAAATGGAATTACTGAAATCAATCTACTTTTTCATGATATTCTAATTTTATGACCAGCACCTGTACATCTGATAGGAAAAAAACAAGGAAATAGAGGCCATAATAGCTGTCAGAATACTTTCTCATCAGTTCAGATGTCAAAGTGCTTCCACTTTTGTATTGTTTCCAAACTCTGTAACAATCAGTATACATACGCAACACCACATCACAGTCTATCACTCATGCAGCTTTATAAAAAAAAACAGAAAACAGGTTTAAAAATAAACAGATAAAAAAATAAACAAGTGAAATAAAGGCTAAATGCGGCATTAGATATTTCTTTAGATTATGATTCACTGTGATAAATAGATTTCTTCCAAAAAAGGGCATCAAATCTAGCAGAGAAGAGCTAGAGATATAATCTCTTCTTCCATCCATTCCTGTTGCATGTCAAAGCATGACATCTACATTACCAACACTACAGTCATCCAACATGCATGTCAAAGCCTGATACCTGCAATGCCTCCACGCAACAAACCACCAACAGTGCATTAAGAGATGGGTGTGTTAGACATCTACAGGCTGACATTGTCTTAAGTTGCAGGCCTTGGAGGTGACAGGAGGGCTACAAAAGGCTGGCTAGCTCCTTTTTCTGCTTACGACACAGACACACTCTTGGATTTTTCTCTTTTTTTAAAAACTGTTTCAAACTTAAAGACCTAAGATTACATCACTTGAGCAAAATACACGTTGTTTTCTATATGTTCCTTAGGATTGCATATGTTATGAAAAGCAGTGGATTTTCAAGGGAGCGTTTATAAATCTTGCAAAAAAATATGCAAGATAACAGAAATTATCTTTATTTAACATTTTTGCCCCTTATGACAATAAACAGAGATATTGAATGGGTGATTTAAAGACTGCAAACAACAAAAAAAAAAAAAAAAAACATTTTGTCAAAACAAACTGACAGATTAGAAAATCCGAATTAAAACAGTAACTCTGACATTTTTCAGGCAACTATCATTCAAACTAAAGATGGAACCAATCTGTTTTAATCTCAGACATCAAGCTAAGAACATTCTGAGGAAACATTCTGAGGCTAAAGGTCTTACTCAGAGATCCAGAGCAGCAGTCTTTGGGATTCTTGCAGCTTTCTCAGGACACAAATGCCCTGCTCTAACCACTAGGCCAATTGCCCCCCGGCAACATGAAATATTACCATCAGCAAATATGTTAATTAATCTCAGGAGAGCATGCTGATGTGTGTGCTGTATTGTATGCAGATGACGTTTTATTAAAAGTCCCCCTCGGGGGGGTGCTTAGGTCAACAGCATGACAGCACTTTTACTAGCAGACTGATTCATCATCCAAATATTATGGTATGAACTTAGAGCAGCCATTACAGTCGCCTGACTCTTTTCTTTGCCAAATGCCAGCTTTAATTACTTGCAGCTGAGACCCGGGGTTCGGTGTGTATATCAGATACTTAACCCTCCCATTGTTACTACTCGCTGTGTACAACACACAAACCTGGAACCTACCAGCACCAATCCATGCCTCCTCAATGTCAAACTCCTCTGGTGTAAGAAAAGTTGCTTTTAAAGAAGCAGGAGGACCTCGTTTCCATAAACAAGCTCCCCTAAACTGCGTATGATCACGCACACACAGAGGATTTCACTATGCTGGTTGTGTGCTACGTTCACAAAACAAATATCTCACATATGCATGCACAGCGCACACATACACAAAAAAACACCCCCGCCACGCCCACAAAAAAACCCTCTACCTCTAAATCCACCATTTAAAAGTAGTCTTCTTGTGGCTCTCAGAGGCTGCACATGCAGCAACATGTGCTCCGAGCTGAAAAAGTCCTTACAGTAAACAGATTGCCGACCGCACAGACAGAAAATATGCACTCTCTTCTAAGGGCAGTAGTTTGGAATCACTAGCTGGCCTGTTCCTCTGTGTTTCCACAGCTTCTATGACGCTTTTAGAGGCTGAAAAAACAAAAACTCTCATTTTGCTCCATGTTTGTCTCCTCTTAAGCAGACAGAGTGCAAGACTTTATTTACCAGTTGCAAACATAGCCCTTTTCAGAGAGAAGCAAATAAATACAAAAATAAAGAAAACAGCAACCTGTCAGCTGGAAAACGAACGACACCGACTCATGCTCACAAGCTGAAGTTTTGATTTCTTTTGTCACAAAATGGTTATGTTTCGAAGGCTGGCCACATATATCAGCTTTAATTTTCCCTTCATCTGCAGAAATCATAACAACCCATTATTAAACCTGATACCATGTGGTTAGCTCTGACCAGGCCTGCTAATACCATTAGAATAACCTCATTTAAATAGCTTAAGTGAGCTAAGTCAGTTTCCTCTCACTCAAAGTTTAAAGACAAACAACCACTGATAAAAATCCAGGCTTCATGATAGAAACTTGCACTATGGGGTACAGTTTTGCTGATCGTATTTTAGTATCTTTTAACGTTTACATGTTAAGTGATGGAGGCTAAAGATAAAAAGACGAAAGGCACTCACCATGTGAATGGCATGACTTTAACACCCATTCATTTCCCCCCATTCCTAATGCTTGCACATACTAGCCCTGGCACCTGGGGCGTGGCGAAACTTTTTTGGCTGCTAAATGACCGATTTAACTCCTTTCTGTGCCCCCCCTTCTACTCCACCCACCTCTCTCCCTGTCTTGTTTATTGTGAACCAGACCCTTCTCTGCCCTGCATCTTGCTCAACAGGTTAGCGGCATTGTCATGCAGAATCCTGTCAGACAGAAACAAAACAGTAGTATAACCTAGCCGCAGTAAGTCTGTTACACAAGGTAGACTGTCTGAATTTAGCAAAAACACTTAAGAGGACGTGATTAGGAGGGCAAGCTTAATCTCACCTCGTCGGTGCATTTGGAGATTATTTTGAGCTCTGTGAGGAAAAGTAGCAGAGGGTGTTGGCACCTGCAGCAAACCTTGTACAACAACCATGTAATGTTTACAGCCAAGCCTACACAAGTGCTGCCTGGGACTCCATAGTAACCCTGGTCTTTTGAGCCTCAGTGTCTCCTGTGAGCTAACACT